AGTACCTCTTAAAGAGTTTAGACCTTCAACTGGCTCTATCTCTCTCTATCTTGAGAATATTCTCCCAATCTTCTCCACCAACTTCTTTAGCTCGTCAGGACACCGGGCATAGGGCGACCTCTCTTTTCTCTGGCCCCCCATTTCCACTTAAGTTTTTTTTGAGGTTGGGGCATCAATAACTTTTGTTTACTTTCATATTTCACTTTCTTATTTTGTCCTTTAATTTAGTTCCATTCCTCGTTGACAAGTTGTTATTTTTTTTTGTTTGTGTTGGAGTCATATATCCAAATGACACGAAATTAATGGACTGTATTGCAGTATCAATACGACGAGAGAAAATAAACTTCTCTCTAAACTAATAACTAAGACTCTCATCCCCGGGGTCGTAGGTTCGATCCCCGGCTTCGATTCCCGGCCGGAACATTCACTGGAACGGTGCAGGAAAACATCGTGAGGAACCCGGCTTGCCTTAGACCCAAAAAGTCGACGGCGTGTGTCAGGCACATGAGGCTGATCACCTAGTCGTATATTAGATTGACAGATAAAGAAATCTGAGGTCCAGACCTTAAAAGGATATTTTTATAATACTTTAAACCTAAGATTTGATTGGTTTAACTATTTGTTCTAGGCGCATGCTCCTAGCATAATAATTAGTTTTCTGTTTATAATGTACTATTATAGATAACGCCTTTTTTACGTATTAGAGGCAATCGGGCAGGAGGCTCACCTGATGTTAAGTGATACCACCGCCCATGGACACTCAATGCCGGCCTTTGAGAATGACTACGCTCTTATCTTGAAGGACCCTAAGATGAATTGGTTCGGAAATATTTCAGTGGGCAGTTGGTTCGACATAGTGCGCAGAAAAATGCCTGTCCATAAGGGACACACCACATCCAAAAGGGTCTCCGAAATAAGAAACTTCCAGCGCCAATTCCCGCCAATCAGCTGATGAAATTTGAATTTCGTAATTTATTAGATTTTATTGTGATTACAGATGCGCCTACACCGGTGTGACGGTTGCCTCGCGGCTTGCCGACCGGAGCGCCGCGTCGCGCACAATAAACATACTATTACCAGGTAATTAATTATTTAAACAAGAATTATTGATTAGGTCCCAAATGAAATTCGACCTTATTTCTACGACTATGCAAATTCGACTACCAGGTAAGATTAGGTTAGGGTCTGGTTAATTTATAACTTACTAGCTGGTGCCCGCGACTCCGTCTGCGCAGGATTAATATTTGTCCAAATGATGTAGCGTGAAAGACATATTTTATCTAGATCAGAAGCGATAAAAGTATCTATTTTCATTTAGGAATCAATTTATTACTACCTAATGTGCAAATAAATTATCAATTTTTATTGTAGTTATGGTTCACTATTTTGGCTATAACAGCTTACATATAAGATATAGATATATGCTGTGGCGGGCTTTTTTGTAGGACTATTTAAGATATACATTTCCATCATACATATATTTAATGTAACTCTAGCGGTTTTGGCAGCGCACGGCAGAACTCGCAGATGGTAGATTTTTCCTACTTATATCATATTTTGGACAATTCACATAATATCTTTATAAATAGAAGCCTATGTGTTATTCTGATATATTAGCTATATTATTGTAAATGTCATAAAATCCATTCAGTAGTTTTTATGTGAAAGAGTACCTAACAAACATCCATCCATACTTACAAACTTTCGCGTTTAATAATATTAGTAGGATGACACAACGTGGCTTTGTATTTATTTATTTCATAATCCTACAGCTTACATACATTATATATAACAAAAGACAATTATTCTAAATATATAAGAATTAAAATATATTATTCTAAAGGTGGAATACATAAAGGTTTACGAAAGGAAAAAAATCAGTAAAAAATATTAACCATTTACCTTATTTGGCTGTGTTGTGTGATGTTGTGTGAAGTGAGTGTATGAATGTGGGGTGAGCTCATGATGCAGATGATTCAGCGCTATGGATATTTTTAATTATCTTAAGCATATTCCGCTATAGCTTAAACAAGTCAAGGCAGGAGATCCAGAGGTTAGCTCACAAGGCAAATAGGCAGAATTTATAATCTATGGTCTTAGTGAAAGTGTTCTCTACCCGCAGAAGTAATCACTTGAAGCGAGCGAGACGGGTGCCATACAGCCCGCTGAAAGAAACCCACGTGATGGCAAACCTGCCAACACTCCCGACGCCGCCCGACAGCGAAGCACCGCGTGAGTATACACACAGACATACATAAGTCCCTTTTTGAAGTGAAACTTCTTTAGGCGCATGAGGGTAAAATTTTTACGGAACGTTACGAAGATGTGCAGCGTTTTTGTCCAAGAAAAGGGAGAGAGCGATTGAGACCGATTGAGAGAGAGTGAGAAGGGCGAATTACCTTATAGAATAGGTAGTAGTAGAGCGTCTCTGACACACCCCTGCCACGCCCCTTGCTCAGCAAGGCGAGACGTCACTTCACTCCATGCCACCGCTCGCAGTTCCATTACGGTCCCACATGGAGTACTGTTCTTACCTCTGGGCAGGAGCTCCCCAGTACCAGCTCCTTCCCCTTGACCGTATTCAACGTAAAGCGAGCTTGATCTGGTGGCGTTGGCTAGAGATGTGGAGTTTCTCTGCAGCTGAGTTTCATCATCGGACTTCAAGGCAGAATACTAGTTTTGCCACGTACCACCATATGTGGTAACAGCTGCCCATTTAAGTATTTCCGAAAATCGTCCAAAAACATTAACTAAACAATAGTTTTATTCCTGTGATGTGTATTTTTATTTGTCAGTTTTTAAATTATTCTTATTTTTAACTTTTAATTTTATTTTATTTACTATACACCTTTACACAAGACTTCATTACTTACACTTCTAACTTTTACTAAAAAAAATGTCTACAAGTATTATTGCATTCCTTTTCTTTCTTTTTTTGCGACTGTGGCACAAACTAGCTGCTGTGGTCTCTGACAGAATGACCAGCGCTGTGGAACATTCTGCTCCTCAGCATAATGCTGAGCCAGGGCCAATTACAACCACAGCACACACGCACACACTTGAAACGAACCGAATGGGATAAGGGGATTTTTGAAGTTATACTTCTTTAGGCGCGTTATGAAAGATTGATGAGAGTGAAATTTTACGATGCGCGCGCACCGTGACACAAAATTAACAGAATGAAGTTGCCCACGGAAGATGCTACGGCATTGGACATATTTTAAAAACAACATTTGAATAATAATATAATTTATGTTACACTTAATGTAAGAGAATTATAATAAATATTTATTTATTAAATTTTTCAAATGTAAACTGAAGTTTATTGACTATAATGACTCCTTTTCCAGTCTTTGGTTATTTAATTGTAATTAAATATTTGCATGCAATCAAAAACTATTTTTAATAATGCGAAAGAAGTATAACTTCTTACGCGCGTACATAAGTACACGCACCCTTTTTTTTTTTTCTTTGATTATTGTTATTTTGTGTGTGTTTTTGTTAGTAATAAGTGTTATGTCTATATCTATGTAAATGGTGGATTTCCATGACTTAGATTAAAAGGCCATAGACGTGATGATGTAATGGATACCGACTCGAGTTTGTCTTTGTCTTCGCGAACATCAAATAGCGTGTTATTAAATAATGAATTACGCAATTATGTATTAACAATTATTTCCTTAATATAATTTCCTTAATCAGTCAGTAGCATTCTCAATGTCGACTCGACTAGATTCAAATGAAAATTTTGTTATGACAGTGTAAATTAAATTCACATAAACAGTGGTCATAACATCTATTGAAACGGTACGGTCTTAGATCAGGTTCTTTTCAGAGCACCAGTTAGTGTTAGCTTTTAATATTTATTTAATTTAATTCTAAACATTTTATGAAACATATTCTTAAGAATTTTGCTACAAGTGCGTGTGTGCAATAGTTACTCATTTGACTCGTTCGGTTATTTACGAATTAACTCGTACAGCTACCCGAAGTGGGATGGTCGAGTCGGAGTAGGAAATGGATTAAAAGAGGTTGTACACATGCGCACGGGCAATTCCTTTGTTCAAGTTTGTAGTTATACAGTTTACGTAATATCAGTGAAGTGAATCAAGTCATCATTCGAGTGTTTAATTTCCTACCCCAAGGGGGCGTCCATAAATTACGTGAGGTGTTTTTTTAAATTTCCTGTGACTCCCTCCCCCCCTGGAGAGATTTCTCGAGATTTCATTCAACCCCCTCCCCCATCCCCCAATCTCACGTGAGTTTTTTCAAAATGTGGGTTTCTTACGTAAACGCGTAAAACAAAATAAGTGAAATGTTGAGCGTTTAGGTATGGAGTTAGCGGGAAGTTGCAGAGATGGCCTTTAGGGTCAACCGTTTTCCTAAATTTTTTTTTCAATCAGAAAAAAATTGCGTGATATTTGCCGAGACCCCCCTCTCTCCAACGTAAGATTAAATGAGATTTGACTCGACCCCTCCCCCTTAAACACCTCACGTAATTTATGGACGCCCCCTAAGAACTAGATCAACTAGCCCTTACATTACACACACGTACGGTAAATGGAAACTTGGACCCAAAAACATGTTCAGAATGCCGATCTACTATAAAAAAAGAGTGTGTGTACTTATGTACACGCGTTAGAAGTTATACTTCTTTGGCGTATGAAAAAAAAAATAACTAAAATGCAGTAGTGATTAACGATAAATATTAAAATTAATCAATAAAATGATTATTAGTAAATACTATCACCGTCGTATATGAAATTGATTTAATAAAAACACCAAAATAATATTTATTTATTCACACTGTTTCATTGTACTGTTACGAAACACGTGTTCTAAATATAAAAATACTAGAACCTAGAACTAACTTCATACTGATAATTTTGTGTCACGGTGCGCGCGCATCGTAAAATTTCACTCTCATTAATTTTTCATAACGCGCCTAAAGAAGTATATCTTCAAAAACGACGTTTAAAGGAAAATTTCTGATTTCAGCCATGCCCTGGTTCGGTATGGACATTGGTGGGACGCTCACGAAATTGGTGTACTTCGAGCCCAGGGAGACTAACCGGCGGGAGATAGATAAAGAGACGGAGATATTGAAGAATATACGGCGGTACCTCACCAGGAATTCGGCGTATGGCAAGACTGGGAGGAGAGATGTGCATCTACAGGTGATTTATAATAATAACTAGCTGATCCGGCAAACGTCGTTTTGCAATGTACGAGGGGAGGTCCAAAAGTTCGTGGAATGAAAGGGTTTTAGTAAAAATGAAACAGTAAATTTATTTTTCCTTTTCAATATAATCAGCCTTAAGCTGAATACATTTATTAGATCTATGAATTAATTTTTCTAAACCATCGTAAAAATATTTTTTATCTTTTCCCTCAAAATGAGCCAAAATTGCCTCCTTTACCTCATTGTCGTCGGAAAATTTCCTTCCCCTTAAGTCTTTTTTTAAATTGGGGAACAAATAAAAATCACTTGGGGCCAGATCTGGACTATAGGGTGGGTGGACTAGTGATTCGAAGCCATGCGTGTGTAGAGCAGCCATTGCAACTTTGCTCTTGTGAACCGGCGCGTTGTCTTGCAAGAGCAACACACCCTTGGTCAATTTTCCCCGACGTTTTTCTTTGATGGCATCCTTTAATTTTTCTAGTATTGTTGCGTAGTATTCTCCGGTTATGGTCCTGCCCTTTTCTTTATAATCAATCAGTATTATCCCCTCACAATCCCAAAAAACAGTAGCCATCAACTTTCCAGCCGACTCCGACACTTTGAATTTCTTTGGCGGTGGTGTCCCCTTTTTATGCCATTGCATGGACTCTTGTTTGGACTCAGGCTCGAAGTGATGAACCCATGTTTCATCGCCGGTAACAATTCACTCCAAAATCGATCCAGGATCGTCGCTACACAACTCCAAAAAATGTTGCGACGCTTCGACGCGCTGCTGTTTTTGAAGCGGCGTGAGCATTCTCGGTACCCATCTTGCACTGACTTTTGTCATACCCAGGTGGTCATGTAGGATTCGCAAAATTGTGGTATCTGATACTCCAACTAATGCAGATAACTGTTTTTTCTTCAAACGGGTGTCCTCCAGTACAATTTTTTCCACTTTTTCGACGATGTCTGATGTGGTGGCCTCAACTGGCCTTCCTGAGCGGGGGTCGTCTTCAATCGACTCCCGACCATGTTTAAAAAGACCATGCCATTTGTAAATCATTGATTTACTAGGGCACTGTTCCCCGTAAACAGTTTCCATTTCATTCAAAATGGTCTGAGCGTTCTTTCCTTGCTTGGTAAGGAATTTAATGACAGCACGGTGTTCAATTTTCTCCATAGTTTCAGTTTTCTTCCGGATTGACGTGTTTAGCAGGCGAGTGTTCGTAAACGAATGACGCAATAGGGCTGAAACTCCATTTATATACTAATTATGAGTCCCCAATTAGTATGACACTAAGCGAGCGCCCCTATCCCCACTCCATCCCCTCCATTCCACGAACTTTTGGACCTCCCCTCGTATATCATCTATATATATAAAAATGAAACCCGTTTTCCATTGTCACGACATAACATGAAAACGGCTTGACCGATTTGTCTGGATTTTTTTTTTTGTTTGTAATTGTCAGGAGAAGGTTCTTATAAAAGAAAAAAAGAAAAACATTGCCCGGAAAATTAGAAAATTTAAGAATACTTAACCACCATACAATTCGAACTTTTTGATGTAACCTTATGGTGTTTGACATAACATTAACAGAATGCATGCAGCAAATATCGTCAAAGAGGATGTAAGAAAAATGAATATCGTTTAAAATAAATGCTTCGATCGGAGTTATTATATTGAAAATTTGCGAGCCATAAAAATAGTTTTTAATTAATTATATCAATTTGAAATCAATATTCATTTTTAAGACAGGACAACGTCTGTCGGGTCCGCTAGTTTATAATAAAATAGGGGTTGATCGTAGAGGTATGAAAATTAGGGGTTAAATGTATTTTTTAATGCTGTATCATAAAAAAATAAAAAAATTTATGTATGGGTTATACCCTTAACATTTAGGGGGATGAAAAATAGATGTTGTCCGATTCTCAGACATACCCAATATGCACACAAAATTTAATGAGAATCGGTCAAGCCGTTTCGAAGGAGTTTAACCACAAACACCGCGACACGAGAATTTTATATATTAGATAATTTATTTATTGAAATAATATGGTACGAAAATGTTAAGGTGGTACAGTAGTAAATCGTTCGCGCACACACAATGGCGCGCAAATTCGTCTTAAGGAATTTTACATTATTGATCAAAGTCAATTCTTATAGTATCTGTATCGTACATATCATACTTTATTAAATTTATGTCAATTACAGTGATAATGATAATGCGCTGGAGTTTAATCATTTCACTATATGCATATCATAAAGCGCTTGAAATGTGTTAGCGTGTTTACAAGCATGCTACGTCATAAGACTGGTGCGACGCCATCTTGTCTAGAGAAGCGTTTTGGTTTTCTTGAAATTCTTAATGGCTCATTTGGATTGTTTTAATTTTTAAAATCTTCTCACAGCCTTTTATGTAAAACTCTTGCATGGGATCGTGGTCGTTGCTATGTTTACAACACTGTGACGTCATTATAGTTCGTCAGAAATCGATAAAAAATTATGTATTTATATTATTTCGCAAACTGACTATATATTTTAATTCTAAAAATAAATGAAATTAAAATGTAGTTAATAAATGTCTTTTTGACATTGACAGATGGACAACGTGACAATCCGCGGCCGCCGCGGCACGCTCCACTTCATCAGGTTCCCCACGAGCGAAGTCGGCTCGTTCCTGCAACTCGCTCGCTCTAAGGGAATGGCCACTCTCCTTACCACCATTTACGCAACTGGTGGTGGCGCTTACAAGTTTGAGGAGGATTTTATTAAGGTATTTGTTCTGCGGTTAAACCGGTACTGCGGTTTTCAATACTCTGTGAGTAAGATGTTTGGTGTGGCGGCGCAAGGATGAAGGTTTCATCATCGGACGTCGAGGCAGAATACGAAATTCCACCTGTATCACCTCGACATAAGCCGTTCCACAACTGAGCGTTTTTAAAGGCAGTTGCCGCGAACCACCATTATGTGGAACCAGCTACCCACTGAAGTATTTCCGAACTTAGGGTCCTTCAAGAAAATAACGTACCAATTCTTAAAAGGCCGGCAACGCACTTGCGAGCCCTCTGGCAATAAGTGTTCAAGGGCGGCGGTATCACATAACATCAGATGAGCGTCCTACCCATTTGACCCCTGTTCTATAAAAAAAGGGGTAATGGTTACGGTTTCGCATGTTGCGCTGCTGGCTTAGGAAGCGGGGGAAACGTTTGTAAAACGTTACGATGCGGGGCGGGGATTGATTATTGTTATTGTTAATATTATTTTCGACTTTCCATTACTTTACACCACGTAATGGTAACTTTTAGGTATAAGGAGTCACTGGGTGGTCACGAAACGTTTTACTATTAGGTACAGAAAACAGGGGGGTATTTAATAAGGAGATTTCATTTTTTTTTCAATGCGATGCTGGTTTGTATTATTAAAAGTACAGCGTGTTGCCACGGCGAGCGTTACTCGACGACTTCTTTCTTGACAAGGCTTCCTTGCTTAGGATTATTTTGTATCATTCCATCACGTTTCCGCGCGAATAGTTGTATGTGAAGGAAAGGGATGGGAATAGTAAGAATAGGAGACTTGGCGAAAACAATGTTTTTTATCGATCCGGCTGTTACACCGCTGGGGATAAATAATATTAAGAACATCCGGAAATGACTTCAGATGAACTTTAATATTATATTTAACCGCACTGTGGTTTAACCGCTGCGGTTTTAAATGCAATCTAACATAAACATAAGATAATATTATAAATGAATATAAAGTTTATAACAACACTATAAGTGTGATCCTAACCGCTGCGGTTAATACTGAATGCGGTTAATCTTCAGTTGATTTCAGTAGCATAAGCTTGTTTTTATAAAGAAATTGATCGGAAATAAAATGATTTTCATATTACGTGCGTTAACCGCTAACTTTTTTTTACAGGAAGTGAACATGCGACTGTCAAAGTTGGACGAATTGGACGCGTTGATAGCGGGTGTTCAATTTGTCGACTCGATGAACCCGCACGAGTGTTATTACTGGGAACCGAACCCTGATACCACGACTGACAATGACTCGGTGTGTATTTGTGTGTGTGTGTTATGTATGTAAATTTATCAGGGCCTCGTGCCGTGGAAAATTAAACTAATTTTTATACCTATATTAGTAGAAAGAAAGAAAGAAAGAAAAATCTTTATTTTTTCTCCACAATCTTACATTGAAATTAACTAAATATTAAGAAACAGATATATTGTCGCAAGGAAACATTATAAGATTGTGAGAGACTGGTGACTGAACTAAGCAGGGCTTGTATCTCAGACCACCAGCCTCTCCCCACATGGTGTAAAAGTAGCCAGTAACAAGAGTAAATTATTAATAAGGACATTTTACAGATGTAACATGGAGAAAAGAGGTACCTAATTAAAATATGTAGGTGTGCAATCGCGCCGATATAACATCCGTGCTAATTATTATATATATTATTATATATATATATATATTAGTACTTAGATAAATATATATATATTAGTACTTAGATAAATAGATAACAGTACATAAATAAGTATAAAAAAGGGTGCGTGTACTTATGTACGCGCGTAAGAAGTTATACTTCTTTGGCATTATTAAAAATAGTTTTTGATTGCATGCAAATTATTAATTACAATTAAATAATCAAAGACTGGAAAAGGAGTCATTAAAGTCAATAAAGTTCAGTTTACATTTGAAAAATTAATTAAATAAATATTTATTATTATTCTCTTACATTAAACAAATAAAACACTATTTATCTTTAAAACATTTTTATTTCATTATACTATTTATTTTTAAGTGACTCTAATGTCTTCATCAGAATTTCGGTTTGTAATTTTAAATTAATCATTACTTGGTTGTGCATCTACGAGGCTTCTCCAAAACTAAAACTACTACTTGCTTCTGCAACAAATAAGAGAATATTAATTTAAGCTCTGTCCATGCAAAACTTAAAATTTTTTATAATTCATATTATAAAATTTTTAACACATTTATATTAATATAATTATATAAATGTGTTAATAATATAATTTGTAGCACATGCTACAGACCTGGATAGCAACTTTCTTTTATTCTATTTAGAGATAGAGATAATTTAAATATAATACCGGTGTCTTCCTTGTAGGTTTCTTTTGAGTTGTTTGGGGATTCTTGTTGTTCAGTTCGACATGATTTTCTTTAACCTTTTTTAATCCTACAAAATAATGAAATTCTTAAGTTATGTTGTCACTGTTGTGCACACCTTTGTTTGGCATTTTTAGTATTCAAGTTATGTCAAAACTGATTTATTACCTTGTCATTGTTGGCTTTATTTGCTTTTGGGATAGCAATTGTTTCCAAAATGATTTTATTTGTAATATCCTGAAATATATAAATAACATCTATTAATTTAAGTATCATGGTGAGTGGTTCGCACTCAGGTATTAAGGTGTATTATACCCACTGTCCATTATAAGTGGGAATGGGCTCACATCTGGCTGGACAGAGTTTCGGTACTACAAGAGCAACATGGATGTTTTGAGGTATTACAATATCTCTAACTACCCTGTAGGGGAATAAAGTATGTGCCTATGCTTGAGAGGTTGAACCTTGAACATCACCATCATATTTATAATTAACATTCCTACCTCGACACCATCACAATCAAATTCATTGAAATCTACTTCAAACCGTTGCGGTATAATCTCTGCCATATCCATTGTGTCTGGAGAAGGTGATGGTGGCTTTGTTCCACCTCTAGTTTTTGATGTTTCACGGCGATAAGATGACAACTCTTTTTTTTTATTCAATTTAGTGCACTTCCACTGATTCATCAATTGTTTTTTGTCTCTTGTCCTTATATTTGCTAGATTAAATCTGAAAAATTACATGTTTTGATTAAATAATGTAATCATTTTTTTGAGATACAGGTACTTATTAAAATGTTTACTTCTCTGTAATATCGCTCCAAGCCTTCATTTTCTCCTTATTAGTATTCGTGCTTAAATCTTTGTTCTCAATTATTGATATATAGGGTCGTAGAATATTTCTAAAAAGTTGCTGTAACAAACGCAATAAACAAAAGCAATGAATAATGGTTCATGTTTCAGTTTTAATCAACAATAATACTCGATAATACATACGGATAGTTAACCTCAATTGTATTGAAGCACTCAGGAAGTTCGGCACAGTTTTTTCACAAATATTTTATCATATGAATTAGTATTGATTTAGATATTCAATTTAAATCACTTCTGATTATAATTCAGACGCAAATATAAAATTCGCACTTGTATAATAAAAATAACTAGGTATATAATCTTTAAAACTAATTAATACTCCTATATTTGTTTCAAATGTCATTGTCAGATGTCATGGTCATTCAAAATTCTTGTTAAGCTGCTAAGCTAAGAAATAGAATATGCGTGAAGTTAGCTTCACGCATATTCTATTTCTTTTACTTGTAGATTGCGCAGTGCGCACGCTATAATCACACTCCCAATTTTGTGTCATAGGTGCGCGCGCATCGTAAAATTTCACTCTCATCAATTTTTCATAACGCGCCTAAAGAAGTATAACTTCAAAAATAAATAGTAAATCAAAAATAAGCTATAAATTGTAAGTTAGACCATTGGTTGGATTAAGTTTTCAGTCTCATCATAGTTGAGACCCTGTATGTAGGCAGTAACCTTCTTTTTACCGAGAGGAAGAAGGACTAGGTTTATGTTCGTGATGCTGTTTGAGGGCTGTGTTTAGGATGAACAGTTGACGTACTGTAAGCATCTGAGCTTCCTGATAGAGGGTGAAAGTAGGGAAAAGAATGGGTTTGAATAAGCAAACTTTTAGAAGAGCCCTCTGGGCACGTTCCAGGGACAGCAGATGGGTTTTGGCTGCACCACCCCAAGTGGTGATAGCATATAATAAAACAGATTGACATAATGCTAAATACATCATTCTGACTATATGAGGCTCGGCAACATGACGAATTTTCTTAAAGATAAACATGAGTTTGCGGACTCTACCACACATATTCATAAGATGGGCCTGAAACGTGAGTCGACTATCTAGTGTGATGCCAAGATACTTAACCGTACAACCTCTCTTCAATGTAGCGCAAGAGCATGGAACAGAAGGAACAGAAGAATGTGTATGGGCAGTTAAGGAATACGGGATTAAGGCTATGGGAGGAGTATATATGGAGAAGGTAAGATAGCAAGTTTTCTCTATATTAAGAGTTAATAAATTTTGGCGCAGCCAACACGAAACGATATCAAATCCGGTCTGTGCATAAGAGAAAGCTTCCCTCCAGCTTTTTGCAGAGAAAACAAGAGCAGTATCGTCGGCGTAAGAGACCAATTTGCTATTAGGTATTTTCAGGGAACACAGATCATTCATGTACACTAGGAACAGCGTAGGACCAAGAATGCTGCCCTGGGGGACTCCGAATTCCACTGGAAGGTAAGAGCTGACATGGCCATCTACCACTACACATTGACTCCGACCGCTGAGGTAACTTTTAAATAAGGAAAGTTGAACTCCTCTCACTCCAAGCGCTTCCAGTTTCTGTAGAAGGATTTGGGCCGAGACAGTGTCGAATGCCTTCGCGAGGTCTAAGAATATGCCCAGACACTTCCTATGGCTGTCCAAGTTCCTAACTATGTGATCGGTTAATTCATGGATGGCATCCGATGAAGATCTTTTAGCTCTGAAACCGAATTGATTCGGAGAAAGTAATTGTTTATCTTCCAGATAACTAACGAGACGTTTGTTTATTAGGCGTTCAAGGATCTTGGACAGTGCTGACAGAATAGAGATGGGGCGATAGTTGTCGACACTGCCACGGTTGCCGGATTTGAAAATGGGATGCACTATTGCCTTTTTAAAAGCGGATGGGAAGATTCCCGTACGCATACTTAAGTTACATACATGGGCGATTGGTGTAGCTAATATTTTAAGGTTGAGTTTAAGTATGGCAGACGTGATGTTGTCCCAACCTGCAGCACAGCTTTCTTTCAAGGAATTTATAGTGATTTCGACTTCTTCAATAGAAGTGTCGAGCATGACTAATGATTGGAGAGGAAAAGGAGGATTTGGTCGTAATGGAGGTGGAGAGTCGTGTTGATGATTGGATTGTATATTTAAGGCAAGCGATTTTCCGATACCCACAAAGTGAGAGTTAACATGGTTTGTTGAGTCTTTTGGAATCGCTCTACATTTTAGGAGGTCACTTGGTCTATCATGTTTTTTATTAAGATTACTAACGTCTTTTATAGCTGTCCAAAGTTTTTTGGTGTTAGTTCCTGCATTTAGTAGTAGACCTTTTTCATAATTCTTTTTAATTTCTTCAGTAGACTATTACAGAAGTTCCGGTATCTGTAGTATGTTTTGCGCAGAATATCATTTTCAGGTTGCTTTTTTAGTTTGTAATGCATTCTATCTCTATTACGTATACATTTAAGTAAGCCTGGGGTCATCCATGGCTTGATGATTTTAGTGCGGTGAGAGCGAGTCATGACGGAGGTGTGCATAGAGATAACTGATTGAAGAATTTCTATCAAATTGTTGGTTGCTTCTTCACAGTCAGTGTTATTGAGAACAGATGAAAAATCTGTATTCAGGAGAGACTGTGAGAGGCTATCATGATCCACTTTTTTGATAGATCGAGTAGGAGCAGAGTAGCGATTCTTTATATCTAAGGACATTACTACTGAACTATGATCAGTGATTGAAGAATTGATGACAAGAGTAAGAGCAGTAAGAGGTGATTTAAGAATACCGTGATCAAGACACGTAGAAGAAGGAAAACGAGTAGGGAAGGTATGAGTTGGGAGAAGCCCATGGAAAACCAACATGTTGAGATAATCTTCAGCTTCTTGGTTAAGATTCTCTGGAGTAATATCAATATTTATGTCACCTAAGATTATTATATTTTTGAAACTTTTAAGAGATTCTAGCAAGGTATTTAGAGAGTTAATAAAGTTCGTTTTATTTTTGAAAGCACTTGGTCGATAAATACCTAAAATTGCAGTATCAATATTAAGTTTAATTAAGAGAACGCTGGCTTCTGCTACAGAGGGTTCTTCAATTGAGATGCCTGTAATACAATTTTTATAGTAAACCAGGACTCCGTCATTTTTATTAACTGGGTTACAGGAAGAGATGCTGGAGAAACCTTTTATGGTTGGTATTACCGGGTTGCTTTCTAGAAAACATTCAGTGAGAATGATAATATCCGGGATAGTATGAAAATTTGTAAGTAAAATTTCAAAGTTCGCGAAATTTGCCGATAAGCTCCGAATATTTTGCGTTATAATATTTAGGACTTTATTATGTTTAGGTAAATAGTTTCGGACTTCATGTGGATCACAGCAATGGCTTGAAGCAACCGATAGATTATCGATGTTGTTTAATAATTGTCTATTATTACGATCGAATTTTGAAGCCTTGAGTAACTAAAAGTAACCAATTTGCTAGCACAATACAGTTATTAAATGGGAATAGCAGTGTAAGGTCAATGAGTGCAAGCATAGGCTTACTAAACTTAAGGATATATGCACGCATTGGAATTAGAGTACAATTTAAATAGTATATATCAGTGAGATAGTCATAGATTATGTATAAGAGAAAAGTGTCTACAATATTTGTGTGTGAATAAAGAGGTATGAAATTAATTACGTGAGTAACAACTCTAGAATAATATTTGAAAATTGAGCCTAAGGAACCAAATACTATCAGAAATGCTAAATTATATAGGTATATTATATGAGGAAATATAAAATATAATATAATACATATGTAAAGGAGCGTCGGCACTATAGCACAGTTACAAACAATGATCTTACCTAGTACTAATATCATAGTAATTAAAAAACTAAATCTAATCATAAACAAAGACGGAAATACGTCGCAAGGATCTAGTTTTTTGGCTGGGGGCCAACCAGCTGACTTTCATTAGTAACAACAATGAGTTTGGTGTGGTCTGCCTGCCTCAGCAGCACTCGGCCTCCGGAAGTCCAGCAATACTTATATTTTTCCGTCTTGGCGTATTCTCGAGCTAGATAGTATAGGCGGCGTGCCTGTGCCGTCAGATGCTCGGCGAAGTAAATCGGATGTTGCGGACCACCGACGATGGTGGAGTTGAGTTTGTTACTGCCTCTGTTGTGTTCTTTGAAAGCCTTCAGAATTCTTCCCCTCGTAATAACTGAATTCAGGGTGCATACCAGAGTGATACTATCAGACTTTGACGGGACGCGGCGGATATCAAATATCTCAGACAACGAGACTTCCACCGATATCTCCTTGAAAAGCCGAGTGACAACAGATATCTGCTCATCCTGAGACAGAGTTCTGTTTGCCAGCCGGATGTTACGAATTTCCAGGGAGCTCAGCCTAGAACGACGGTCCATATCCTCTGTTGTGTCTTCAACCTTAGATACACGCTCGAGGAAAGATTGTGTTTGTTTTTGATGTGAACTCAATTGTAACAGCAAGTCATCATACTTTTGCGACAAAAATTCTATAGATTTTTCTGTTTCACTCTGCGAAGCCAGAATTTCTGTGTTTTGTCGCACAACATCCTGCACGTACGTTTTTATTTCTGACAATTTCTCATCAGTTTCCTGTCGCCACATATTAATCGTGTTTAAGAATTTATCGATTTTTGACTCTTCCGAAGCTCCACCACATTCGCACCGCCTACGCTTCGAACGTTGAGTAATGTTGTCATCAATAGTGCTAGTATCACTTAAGTTTAAGTTTGGAGCGGAGCCATACTGTACATCTTGTTTACATGGACTTCTAATCATTTTGTGATCGCAAACAGAAGAAGCTATCCGTGTCAATGCAAAAATATATATAAAGGCGACAACACTTAAAGTGATGTGCGATTTACTAATAATCTTATGGTATAATTAGTAAATCACTATTGGGCCCTGTACTAGCCACGCCTCCTTTAACTTGCTCGTACGCAGGTGGGCGTTACTGCTAATTAGCCACTCGAATTGCGGGATGCGTAACGACGAGATGCGCCAAATATAATTATCTCACTCACTCTTATGCTGCGTTACTTGAGTGGCCTCCGAGCTTGGTGGGAGAGCCGTAGTCACCTCGCAGTACACGAAGCTTGTCTTGAGTATCCTCGGGAGTTATGTGCGCCTAGTACTCGAATCACTTATTTTTGAATATATTAAATTTAAAAATATTTTTAAAATAATTTTATAAGGTGTAGCCGTAAAACACGTCTAGTCAGCCAGACATCCAAGGGGGAGAGGAGGAGGAGTAGTTATCAAACTTGAATAATGAGGGTAGTTCGTGATCAGTACATTTATTATACAATATGGCATAGATAATAGAACACTGCACCTGGCAACAAACCATAATAGAAACACAATTAATTATTTAATTTAAATGAATCTTGACTTCACTTGTCGATTTTTTTTTTAAATTACATTAGTACTACAATGGCATATAGTTACGATGTCATTTGTTTTATGAGAATGGCAACACCACGCAATAACAAAGACATCTTACAGGTTGTAAATTGCCAATCTGTCTGTCTCAACTTGAGTTCAGTTGCTCTCTGATTGGCTCCTTGTTTTTAAAATTAAACTAAAATTTCGCTATAAAATATTAACCGCTCCGTATCTGCGATATATATTATAATGACATTTTATATTTTTAAAACAAACTTATATAAAATCAAAATAGCGTAAAACTGATTTGAACATGAAGGTTGATAGGTCACCTCATAATCAAAAGGCCTGGCCTAGTCTTACCATAGAAATAGCAATCATTTTAATTAAAAATTATATTAATTAGTTATATATAACGGGATAATTTATAATTAGTAATATATAGCAGGACAATTTTTATTTAGCAATATATAGCGGGACAATTTATAATTAGTAATATATAGCGGGACAATTTATACTTAGAAATATATAGCGGGACAATTTATAATTTTTATTGATTGGTAGCCAGGTTTTCTTCAATAATTGAGGTTTTATAATTTAATTGCAGCCGCCATACTTGGAGCCGTGCCTCAGCCAGTACGTGCGGAAACCCTTCGATTTCTCATCGCCATATCCATTCCTGCTGGTGAATATTGGGAGCGGGGTCTCCATGCTAGTCGTCAGTTCGCCCCTTGACTATAGCCGAGTCAGTGGGACCAGGTATGTTTAAAAAAAAAGGGTCCGTGTACTTATGTACGCGCGTAAGAAGTTATACTTCTTTGGCAATATTAAAAATAGTTTGGCTTTGTTCCACCTCCAGTTTTTGATGTTTCACAGCGATAAGATGAAAACCCTTTTTTTGTATTCAATTTAGTGCAGTTACACTGATTCATCAATTGTTTTTTGTCTCTTTTCCTTATATTTGCTAGATAAAATCAGAAAAATTACATGTTTTGATTAAACAATGTGGTTAATTTTTTAATCAAAACATTACTCGATAATAATAATAATACATACGGATAGTTAACCTCAATTGTATTGAAGCACTTAGGGCCAGTTTTTTGATCCGTAGTAAAAGATGGTTTTACCATTTGTTACATTAACTATAGTTAAATGAATAACCATTGGTAAAATCGTAAATGCGTTTTTCAATGCCTTTTTTAACTATAGTTAAACTTAACAATTTGTCAATTTGTTGCCAGTGCAATGAGCAATGACATCCCAAAAAATGTGGTTCTTTTTTGTGGGGAACATTTATTTTGTATGACAACACTAGACATATTGAGTGAATGAAATCCATTTTGGCCATCTTCATTCGCTATTTGCGCTTTGAAGAGTTTGAAGTGTCAAATTAATCTAAATAACACGATATGAATAAAGTTGTTTTTCTGTGATTTAATACGGTTTACACTTTTTACGATACTTAAATATATAAATAACGATGTCCGCAAACAGCCAACGGTCAAATAAGTAAGTACAAACATATTTTCGTGTTATTTATTCCGGTTTATCTTGTGTTTCGTAATAGAAAGTAATACATTTATATTTTGTTAAAGGGACCATACTGCTAACTTCGCCAAAAAAGAAACTGCCAAACTGGTGATGCTTCTCAAGGATTACACAGTCGTAACCTGCAAACAACTGATCACTGCAGCAATCTACAAAAAAGATGCAGCTTGGAAATCTCTGTGACGTTTTCAACTCAGATGGGTCTAGACACCGAAGTGTTAAATTTAATATACATTTAATGAAGGTGTAGGCACATTTTTATATTTATTCTTGTATAGCTGTGTCCTACAACAAAAGGAAAAAATCTTTTAACCCTTTGGAAACAAGGAAGCGGATTATGATCCACACGGATAAAAAAAATTGAGTTTTTGAAACAAAGACAAATAAGAGAGGATGATTTGTTCAATTATGCTAAGGAAGAGCATCAAAAACATTTGCTGCACCAATGAGAGGCCCACCAAAAATTCATACTGCATAACGAGGAGGTGCACCAAAAAGTGATGCAGCAGATGGAAGAAAGGCACAATAAATATATGTAGCAGCAAAAAGAGTTGCATCAAATTGAGGTGAAATGCAAGAAGAAACAATCAGAAAATATTTAATTGCTACTTTAGGGTTTCATGTAAACTTTGTAATGTTTTTTTAATAAAAATGGTTTGTATTTAAGTTATAATTAAACAGTTTATTAATCAAGTCAAATGTTTTATTTATAAATTCTTGTAATAAAGTAGGTAGATGCTAACTCACAAATGTAATAAAAGCCCTAAAGAATATCATAGGTCCCTAACTAATGTGTAGCTGTAGTTTTTAGTATAAGTACATACTTGTATGTACTTATAATAATTATAAGTTAATATTATTAGTAATATATAAATAATATTAACTCTAATTCATTATGTATTCTATTGCCTATAATATTAACTTATAATAATTATAAGTTAATATTATTAGTAATATATAAATAATATTAACTCTAATTCATTATGTATTCTATTGCCTATAATATTAACTTATAATAATTATAAGTTAATATTATTAGTAATATATAAATAATATTAACTCTAATTCATTATGTATTCTATTGCCTATAATATTAACTTATAATAATTATAAGTTAATATTATTAGTAATATATAAATAATATTAACTCTAATTCATTATGTATTCTATTGCCTATAATATTAACTTATAATAATTATAAGTTAATATTATTAATAATATATAAATAATATTAACTCTAATTCATTATGTATTCTATTGCCTATAATATTAACTTATAATAATTATAAGTTAATATTATTAGTAATATATAAATAATATTAACTCTAATTCATTATGTATTCTATTGCCTATAATATTAACTTATAATAATTATAAGTTAATATTATTAGTAATATATAAATAATATTAACTCTAATTCATTATGTATTCTATTGCCTATAATATTAACTTATAATAATTATAAGTTAATATTATTAGTAATATATAAATAATATTAACTCTAATTCATTATGTATTCTATTGCCTATAATATTAACTTATAATAATTATAAGTTAATATTATAGGCAATAAAACACATAATGAATTAGTAATATACTTAATTATATACTGCTGCGGTTCTGTAGCTAGTAATGAAGCAAAATAGGTTTGTATGAGCTGCTGTCTATATATACTCTTGTTCATTGGCAGTTTAAGATCATTCCCAATTTCAGTAACAATCCAGAGCACTGTTCCCTTCGATAGGGGGTAACAGTGACAAAAATCTACATCATCCCAGGTTTCTAATGGCGGATGACATTGCCTAAATATTTTTGGTCACTCATTAACACATTCTCATATAATATTATCGTCTTCTTCATCGTCTCATTAATTAAAGTATCTCAATATGTTTAAATTCATCATTAGATAGTAATAAACGTATTTATCATAGTTTGATTTCTGTGACAAACAGCTGTTACTATATAAATTACCAGCGGCCATCTTTTTAACCCTCCGATACTGAGTAGTTAACTTTTTTGACTAATGGTTAGATATTTTACCATTGGATGCTCTTACTACGGATCAAAAAACGCATTTTGCTGATATTTAACTAATAGTAACGATTTTTACCAATAGTTGAGTTAACTACGGATCAAAAAACCGGCCCTTAGGAAGGTTGATGAGCACAGTTTTTTCACAAATATTAATTAGTATTGGTTTAAATATTCAATTTAAATCACTTCTGATTATAATTCAAAAAGCATCGCTAAATTTCTTTGAAAAAATAATTAAAACTCCTTTATTTGTTTAAAAGGTAAATGACAAATGTCATTATGGTCATTCAAAATTGTTGGCATACGAACTTCACGCATATTCTATTTCTTTTTACTTGTAGATTGTCTTATTCCTATAATCACACTCCTAATTTTGTGTCACGGGTGCGCGCGCATTGTAAAATTTCACTCTCATCAATTTTTCATAACGCGCCTAAAGAAGTATAACTTCAAAAATAGCTACTAATCTATCTCAAACTACTGAACATATTTATATGAAATTTGGACTGTTCAATTGAGATAATGTTGATTTAAAATCTATGCAATAGCTTTAAAAAATCCGAGAAATCTGTTTACCAACATATTAAATAAGCCTAAATTACTAAAAATAATTTCAGCCTGGGTGGTGGGACATTCCTCGGTCTCTGTTGCCTGCTCACCGGCTGCAGCAGCTTCGAGGAAGCCATCGCGTTGGCGGCCTCCGGCGATAATACGACCGTCGACAAATTGGTGCGAGACATCTATGGAGGGGATTACGAGAGGTTCCATCTGAGAGGGGATTTAGTCGCGAGCAGGTATTTTTTTATTATTTTGAAGATGGGGGATGGGGCAGGTGGTGGATTTCCAGAAAATTAAAAAAAAATACTTACTTTGCATAGTACTTCTTTTTTAAACAGTCGGATAGTAGGATAGTTCTTGACTCGCAATAATTTTATTAATAAATAATACATATATAGTAAGACATTATTTATTTAGTTTTACATTTGTTATTTTAAGTATATACTAACGTAATAGAACGATATCATTTATTAGAATGGCAACACCACGCAATATCATAGACATTTTACAAATTGTATATTGTCTATGTGTACGCACTGTCCAAGATAAAGATGGCGCCTCTCTCGAGGCATTTTCTCTGCTTTGATTGGTCGAAACAATGTTTTTGCTTATTTATTTTTTTATTTTCTAGCTTCGGACAAATGTGTTCGGCTGATCGTCGTGCGAAGGTCTCCCGCGAAGACCTGGCTCGGGCCACTTTGGTCACCATCACCAACAACATTGGCTCCATTGCGCGGCTCTGCGCGTCCAACCAGAATATACAGCGGGTAACTATAAAACCTCCGATTTTTGTATTTTTCGTGATCATTTCCTTAACAGGCGAGTATGTGATCAGCCTTTTGTGACCGACACCAGTACTTCTGTAAAAAGTTCCCCAACCAGGACCAACTTCAAATGCCCCTTTTTCAACGAAAATATCGATCAAATGATTAACACTAAATTTGGGGGAAAACCAAGTTGGCATTACTGTCCCTTTTTGGGTCTAAGACCAGTTTTTTTTTTTATAGAACGGGGGGCAAACGAGCAGGAGGCTCACCTGATGTTAAGTGATACCGCCGCCCATGGACACTCTCAATGCCAGAGGGCTCGCGAGTGCGTTGCCGGCCTTTTAAGAATTGGTCCGCTCTTTAAAAAGGTTTAACGAGGTTTTCCTTCACCGTGCGAGCGAATTTAATTACCCACACGACCAGAGTAATATTTTGAAGTCCATATATGAATACAAGAGTCAAGACTCAAGTTCCACTAGTACAGGCCGGCAACGCACCCGGCACCACTTGTGACTCTTCTAGCTAAATGAGATTGCATAAGCCGCTTGTTTAAATAATACAAATATAAACATTGGGATATTATATAATTCTACAATTATTTCGGTACCGCGTTTTAGTATTTTTTAATAAACGTACAGCGCCATCTATCGGTTTAGAAATGATAATCAAAATTGCAGGTGGTGTTTTGCGGCAACTTCCTCCGAGTGAACCCCTTGTCGATGAAGCTGCTGAGCTATGCCATGTCTTACTGGTCCAAGGGGGCTTTGAAGGCGCTGTTCTTGGAACATGAAGGGTGAGTTCCAGTTGGTGGACACGGAAGCCTGATCACTTGGCATAATATTATGATGTTACCTGATTAAATCATGGTTTTTGAAGTTATACTTCTTTAGGCGCGTTATGAAAAATTTATTAGATAAATTTTACGATGCGCGCGCACCTGAGACACAAAGTTGTCAGTGTGATTAGAGCGTGCGCGAGCGAGATGGGAATAAGACAATCTACAAGTAAAAAGAAATAGAATATGCGTGAAGTTAGCAGCTATGCCATTTTGAATGAACATAATGACATTTGTAGTACCTTTTAAACAAATAAAGGAGTTTTAATTATTTGTTCAAAGAAATTTAGCAATGCTTTTTCACAAAGACCTATTGTTACTTAGTTAAAAGGTTATGAAACATACCTAGTTATTAAATTGAATGAATAATATAATAAAATAATAATTATTATTAAATTATTAACGTTAAATATTTATTATTAATTATTTAATATTAAAAAAAATTAAGAAAACCAAAGAAGTATAACTTCTTACGCGCGTACATAAGTACACGCACCCTTTTTTTTTTAAATCTTAATCTGTATTTTTAGGTACTTTGGCGCTGTGGGTTGTCTACTCCATTACGAGAGTAAAAGCGATAAACAAAATTGCACAGAGAACGCTCAGACGGATAGGTGAATCTGTAGCCTTATATAGGGTGTTTTGTTGAAAAGCTGAAAATATCAAATTTGTTAACACCTGTATAACAAAACACCTGTGAATAATGATATTATAATGTTGTAAATACTTAGAGAATCGTAATCGCCAAGCACGAGTTTTATCGTCTCCATAACGTTTTGATAACGTTTGTGAAAACGAAAAAGAAGATTATGATTATCAAAAACGTTTTTGAATAGACAATGGTGGACTTGAGCAAATCATATAGCACTAGGATCATTTCATCAGTGTATGGGCAGCGGTATCAGGGAGCGTTCAAGTATTACGTAACGAATTTTGGGGGGAGGGGTCCTTTTGTAAAACGTTACGATGCGGGGCGGGGATTGAATTACGCGTTATTGTTAATATTATTAATAATATTATACATAATGGTAACATTTAGGTATAAACAGTCACTTTGGTGGTCACGAAACGTTTTACTATACTCGGGTACAGAAAAACGTTACGGCGCGTTCCATGGGGGGTGGGGGTCAATCATCTCCAAAAATTGAATGACGTAATATTTAACGCTCCCTCACCTCAGATGATCCTCCTGCCCATTTCCTGTTACATAAAAAAAATACATAGCAGGCCTTAGCATGAAGCTTGTGATAATTACGTCAAGTATTTGTCAGTGATGTCAGATTTTCGAGTATTCTATTTTTACTTTACGTATTAACATACATACTATATTAGTTTACTATATGTATTCTATTAGAATTCTTTACTATATTTTCATACAAAAATGTATGTCTTCTTTTACACTGTTTGGAACGGACCGTAGTAGACGTTTAAAACGATAAATCTCGTGCTTGGCGCTATATCGTTTTTGTAAACCAGTATGCATTATGACGAATGAAGCCAATATTGCCACATTTAAAAATATAGGCGTTACTTTTTGTAATAATATATTATGAGAAATATATACAGGGTGTAACGAAGTCTAGAAAGTTATTTTGGCTAAGAGTTTTATAGGAAACGGAAAACTATTCGTTTTTTAAACTATGGTATTGAGCGCTGAACAGTGTATAGCAACACTCATCATCGACGGCGTGTGTCAGGCACAGGAGGCCGATCACCTACTTGTCTATTAGATTGACAGATCCAGAATTCTGAGACCCAGACCTAAAAAGTTGCCATTGGTAAATTAAAAAAAAACTTTTTTTTTTAAATTTAAATATGTATGTCTAAGCTATAAAATTTATTTTTAACATTTTGTTGTGTTACGTTAAGTTAAGTAATAGAAATATAATAATTAATATGTTGGGACAGCAGCGGGTGATCGTTTAAAAGCGTTCTCTTCAAGGCAAACCTAATTAAAGAAATACTATATAGTATTGTTAAAATTAATTAGAATAATTAAAAACCAAAATATGATATTTGTTACACCCTGTATAAGAGTAGTTAAATGTTTCGCCAAGAGTTTGGGTTTGAATCTTTGGAAAAAGTTAGAGAAAATGTTATGGGTATAGATTTATTCAATGTTTTAGAAATCATTATAATGTATGCACAAATATATTTTATAGTTAGGCTGTTTATACACGAGCGTTTATGATGCAGTTTATTTTATTATAATTGATATGTTAATAAAACATTACTCATATATTATCTTTGCCTAACCCATTATTTACGCAACGGTAAATAATAATAATTATTAATATTAATCCAGTTATATTTATTAATTATTGCATTAATGTGATATTGACACTAAAAACTGGAGAAATCCAAGAATCTCGGAAAAGCATGTTCAAAAAAAAACAACATTCCCTGTTGCGACTCTTCTTCACTATGGAATATCTTCACTATGTGGAACCAGCTGCTCACTAAAGTATTTCCGAACCAATTCGACTTAGGGTCATTCAAGAAAACAAAGTACCAATTCTTAAAAGACACTTGCTTGGTATCACTTAACATCAGGTGAGCCTTCTGCCCGTTCCAAAAAAAAACATCCTAAAGCTGCTACAAACCCGTTCGTGTCTAAAAAGCCTTACATACTGATTCTTCCTCGCTGTATTTACTAGATTAGTTTAATTTATTTTTGATATTTAGGGGCACGGTGATAAAGGGGGCTTATTTAAGTATTCACGAAGGTAGGGATATACATGATGAATTGATTTTGATGAATATGCACAAAGTGTCTTTCTAGTTTCGTGAAGCGGTGATTGTTACTTACGTTTTTATTGGATTAAAACTGGTGTCAATTGTATTTATTATATTTTTCAAAACTGTCATTCTACTTTGTTAAGATTAAACTATATTTATGCTATAATTTTTTTTTAATGAATTAAAATGATATTTTTAAATGTATAATTTTTTTAATGTATCAAAAAATCTTATTTAATGTATTAAAAGTACTTTTGTATAATGTTAAGTAACAATTAATCGCTACAACATATAACTATGATGAATTGTATTGGTTTTAAGTTGTCCGAAATAAAAAATATTTGTTTTTTTTTTGGTTTTATTTTTCCCCGCATTTGTGAAATATTTTTTTCATATAAAAATTACTTGCTGTTCGGTTGTTCGCTAAAACTCGATAAAGTCTGGACTGATTTGGCTGAATATCTATAAATATTTGTGGAAGTTAAGGGAAGGTTTAAACGGTGGGAAACAGTAAGTAAAAAACAATTAAATTTTCCAATAAAAACTGTTCCTGTGTTTTAAGAAAAAAAAAAAGGGCGTACGTACAAAGTGCACATGTAATAATAACGAATTTTTAAATCTTGTTCATATTTATACAAATCTACAATTTCAGATTTCCGAGACTTAAAGGGAGGGAAAAAGGAAGATATGTTAGGAATTAATTGATTTCTTCTATAATAAAAACACGTGGCATTTTAATTTACAATTCGTCATTTGAGATTTCAATAAATTATTTTGCATCAAATATAAAATATTAATATTTCATAAATTCTCTTTACGAAAATTTAATTTCTATAAGGTAATTCACCCTTCTCTTTTCTCTCAATGGCTCTCTCCCTTTTCTTCGACAAAAACGCCGCATATCCGTAAAAAATTTACCCTCATGCGCCTAGTGAAACTTCACTCCAAAATTTTCATAGATTTATTAGCCTTTAGAAATTTGTGTTTCTTAGCAGTAGTATGATGTCCGATCTCTGGTAAAATCTAGGCTATGATCACATGTAACGCGCGTCAACGCGCGATCAAATTTGAAGAGAGTTCAGATGATGAGCGCTAATGCGCGTTGCGAGAGTACTCGTCAGTCTAGTTCGGTAGAACGTAGAAAATGAACGTGGAAGAGGCTATTAATTTGTGGTTATATTATAAAGAAAAATATAGAAAAAGAAAACGTACACATTGGGTTCATCCAATTTTGAAAAATAGACCCAGTTTGTTATAAATATAATTACGAAAATTAACAAAATTACATGCGATCGCGATGAAAGCGCGCGCTCAACTGAACAGCATACGGACATTACATTAATATCAAAGCGCGCGTCAACGCGCGATCACCTGCGTCTAGATACTTTGCTCATGTGAACAGTTGTATGAAAATACCACAATGTCTAGTCGCGCGATTTGAAAACGCGCGTCAAGTTTTTGCCATCTGAACATAGCCTTAAGCTTTGACACAAATACATCGCTGGTAACAGTCGTAAAGCACTATTACGACTGTTTTAAAGTTTTAAAGTTTTCTTATTTTTTTACTTCCTTTGGTGATGTACTTAGTATTTTTTTCAGAATGTTAAAACATTTTATAAAAAAAAACACGAGGAAGTCTTTATTCTACGAAAACTGGAATAAATAAAAGAATACTTTCGTTAAAATTGTGCAGCTACGGAAGCGAATGACAGACGCTAGAACAGCACACGCTCGCCTGCCCTGCGATTCTGTAACTCATTTGAGCGGCGCTTTTGTCGCGGTTATTGTTTATCAGAATACCAAATTGTAACATGACACCGAAACGAACGATTTGACAGCAAAAATCAGCGCTGAGGGTGTGTGAAGCGAGTTACAGAATCGCAGGGCTGGTCCCGCTCCGTAGTTTCATTACATCATTTATTAACAAAACAAATAATAATTTCATCGTGCACACAGAATTATTGTTTTTGGTGACACTATCTTAAAGTAATTTCTGAAAGTAACCAAAGGGTGGTTATTTAAAATTACCTACCTATATGAACTACAACACTAATTCGTTGAAATCAAATTCCGTTCTTCCCATATCACGATTCTTTCTCAAATATTTATGAGATTTCAATTCAATAACATCATTGATTAACTTATTCAATATTCTGTCGGAGTTTTCCTTTGGTTTCGTTAAAAATAACATTTTATTCTCATCAAAAATGTCGCCTCGTGGTATGTTCTTCCGTATTTGCATATTTTCTACTGAAGTCACGTGGTGGTATTTATTGTTCAATTCCAGTGGGGATTGCCAATAGCCTTTTCGTAGTCTGTTCCGTTTGTGAATTGTGAGGCGATTGCTCAAGGACAGTTCTACTGAAAATATATATAGATAAATATTATTCTGGGCATAGCATTCTCTCTCTTTAAGTGCCTTAAGTAAAGATATAAGTTGGTGCCTGGTAGATAGTACCCGTGACCGAAGAGCTGGTACTTTCCTCACTTAACAATAAGTACAGATACCGGCAAACTTCATGAGCATTAAACAAGGGAGTGGGGAAAAGTTTGCGCATCTGGGACACAAACGTCGTCGCGCATCACCGCTCGCCGCACCCCCTCCCAGTGATACCTAAAAATAGCTTCTGCGCAGGCAAGGACATTTGTTAAAGATGTTTGCCGGTAGCTGTATCACAATACAGCGTGAAAATGCTGCCAGCGTTAAAGGTATACTGCCATAGGGACCAAACTTGGTGAAGTTCCGTTGAAATTACTTGGAATCTTTGGTTAGAAAGACGTCGTCGTGTAAAAGTCGTTACAGAACTGAGAATGTTTAAGGCAATTTCTGCCGCGCACCGCATGTAAAATTCCTTGTGTGTGGCAGAATATGCGAACTTACGATTGTACCACCTTACAAATTTTTGTACCATATTCTTGCAATAAATAAATTATTATAATTAATATTTTTTTTTTTTTATAGAACGGGGGGCAAACGGGCAGGAGGCTCACCTGATGTTAAGTGATACCGCCGCCCATGGACACTCTCAATGCCAGAGGGCTCGCGAGTGCGTTGCCGGCCTTTTAAGAATTGGTACGTTCTTTTCTTGAAGGACCCTAAGTCGAATTGGTTCGGAAATACTTCAGTGGGCAGCTTATTCCACATAGTGGTGGTGCGCGGCAAAAACTGCCTTGAAAAACGCTCAGTTGTGGAACGGCGGACGTCGAGGTGATACGGGTGGAATTTCGTATTCTGTCTCGACGTCCGATGATGAAACTCAGCTGCAGGTATTAATCCGAACAACTCCTCTGAACACTCTCCATGGTAAATGCGGTAGAAGATGTAGAGTGACCCCACATCTCTACGCAACGCCAAAGGATCAAGCCGCTCGGAGAGGGATTGGTCGTCGACGATTCGAACCGCTCTGCGTTGTATACGGTCAAGTGGAAGGAGCTGGTACTGGGGAGGTGAGAGCAGTACTCCATGTGGGGCCGAATTTGCGCTTTATATAGTTGCATGCGGTGGCCCGGAGTGAAGTACCACCTCGTCTTGCTGAGCACACCAAGCTTTTTGGAGGCTAATTTAGCCTTTCCCTCCAAGTGACCGCGAAACTGAACGTCGTTCGATATGTCAACGCCAAGTATTCCAATGCTGGCTGTGGCTTTAAGAAGAGTGTTTTCGAAAAGAGGAGTAGCGACAAAGGGTGTTTTTTTAGCGGAAAACGCGCAAACTTGTGTCTTCTTGGGGTTAAATTGGACTAGGTTTTGTCTGCCCCAGTCTGAGACTCCACGTAGTAGAGTTTCGACTTCAGACACAAGTTTGTTCCGGTACTCATCAACAACTGCCCGGCCAGTGTAAAAAGTATCCCCAGTGCTGTCATCCGCATAGCAATGAATGTTGCTAAGTTGCAACATATCATTGATATGCAAAAGAAATAGGGTCGGGGATAGAACACAGCCTTTGTGGGACCCCAGCGTTCACAGGTTTAAGATCGGAACATGCTCCGTCGATGACGACCTTGATGCTCCGATCGGCCAGAAAGCTGGATATCCAATCGCATAATTTCTCGGGAAGCCCATAAGCTGGAAGCTTCGAGAGCAGTGCTCTGTGCCACACCCGATCGAAGGCTTTCGCTATGTCCAAACTTACCGCCAGCGCCTCCCCCTTGGACTCAATTGCCTCTGCCCACCTATGGGTAAGGTACAAATACATTAAAATGTACTTACAAAACAAAATTAAAATCAAATATGTCTTGTACATATTCGTAAAGTTAATGAAATAAGCCTTAAATCGTAAACCTTATCTTAATTATATTTAGTTAATTAATTTTAACTTTAGTTCACTTTGTATTTTACTTACGTTTTAATTTTAGTATTGTGTTTTTATTATACGTGGATATAATATAAATAAAAACCACTGGCGCTACAACTTTTTAGGTCTGGGCCTCAGATCTGTATCTGTTTGATGATCATTTGTCAATCTAATAGACACGTAGGTGAGCAGCCTCCTGTGCTTGACACGCCGTCGACTTTTAGGGTCTAAGCAAGCCGGTTTTCTCACGATGTTTTCCTTCACCGTTCGAACGAATGTTAGTTGCGCATTGAAAGTCGATTGGTGCACAACCTAGGATCGAACCTACGGTCTCAGGAATGAGAGTCGTACGCTGAAGCCATTAGGCCAAGAATCCTGGTGTATATAATATAGTTAAAGAAAAAAAAATGTGTGCGTGTACTAGGTGTACACACGTAATAAGTGAAACTTCTTTATGACCTTATTTTTCGAAAATTCTATATGCAACTTTACAGAAATTGGTTAAATAAAGTTAAATTAGATAAAGTTTAACAAAAGGCTTTTATCATCATAGACATGAATACAAATACAATTATTTCATTTTACCTTACTACTAAGATTATTACAGAATTTCATTAATAGTAAATAATCATTGTTATTGTTATTATATATTTTTGTTATTAATGGCTTCGAATCTCTTCGGATCTACCGTGGTAGGGACAAGAAAAAGATGGCGCGTAACCGAAACACGTTACGATTTGTTACAAAACTTCTTCCATACGTCGATAAAGAAGTTTCACTTTAAATATCTTTATTTATATAACCATACACTGCTTTATTCAAAGTCAAGTCTAGGCCCTTAGTATGACTCGTATGTCAAGATATAACACATAGTGACATATGGGATTTACACTTAAGTCTTGCTTCAGAATATTACCTCAAGTCTTTCGTAGATTAAGTATAGAAGATTTATATCATAGATTACAAAACTTTTAGTTTCCGATAAAACTGTGAATAAAAAAATTTAACAAATGCTTGGAAGCCTAAATAAACCATACTCAAATCTTATCCAAGTCCATTAATATCAGAGGTCATCATAATCTCCTCTTTGATGTCGGTAAAAAAAAATTGCGACGAATTGAGCACCCTTTTTTGTGTCAGTTAAAAACATACGGTGCAATATACATAGGGAAGCCCTAAAATTACCACTATAATCAATTACCCAATTGATTCAATATTCTAAAGTCGGTAAATAAAACATTTATTATGAAAAATAATTTATTAAAATCGTCTAAATATTTCATATATTATTTTAACTAATAAATTATGCGCAATAACAAAGATTTTTGTGTTAGGAAGACAATTCAAAGAATAAATATCTCATACAATACTTTAAGTACTATAAAAATTACAGGTTATCATCGACATCCAACAATAATTTCAATAATATACAAAAAAAGACTAAAAACAAATGAATAACGTTTATGAATATTAACTCTTATACTAATGACATCTTTACGTAACTGGTAAACTGGTCAACGCCATCTAGTGGCCGACTTTTTAAACAAGTCAAGTTTGTGAAATTCCAAAGACAAAAGAATATGTCGTGGCCCGATCACAGAATAGTTCACTGGGATGTCTTATTTATAATGCCCAGTGAAATTGGACTTTTATAGTAGTTAAACAACTCCAAGATCGGTTCAAGAAATATACTACAGGGAGCGTTCAAGTATTACGTAACGCAATTTTTGGACATTATTGACCCCCCATGTAACTCGTCGTAACGTTTTTCAGTACCCAAGTATAGTAAAACGTTTCGTGACCACCTAGTGACTCTTTAGTTACTATTATGTGGTGTAAGTCGACAAAAATATTAACAATAACGCGTAATTTAATCCCCGCCCCGCATTGTAACGTTTTACAAAAGAAAACCCCCCCCCCCAATATTTTACGTAAAACTTGGACGCTCCCACACTTGTAAAGATAAAAGTTTAAATTCTTGAAGAAAAACATCCATGTTTTACGATTTGTCAATTGATATCACAGGAATGAAAAATATAATGTTGCTATGTGTCAATAATGATCATGATAATTATCAGAATTCAATATCCTGAAAGCTAATCACAGATTATAAAATATTGTGTCAAAAGAAATTAATGATTTAATTACGTATGAAAATTGTGAACACATTGGAGTTTTTTTATTAATACATAAATAATTGGAAATTTTCATATAAAACTCGATTTAATTGTTTGAGATTTATAGTTTAGGAATGTTAATTTTCAATTAAACGTAAGTTTAATTTTTCCACTTAACATTCTCCTTACACTGAGACTGAATTGAGTTAAGTATCTAAGACAGTTTTTTTAAAGATGAATTCACAACTGTAGTATAATCATGAATAACTAATTCTTCTTTGAAGTGCCCTTCCCCAATTTGCTATTTAATAGGCATGAAACAGACACACTTCTGCACCTACTTTTTCAATTTCATTTTTAAGAACGGATATGTTTAAACATAAATAAATTTTTGGGTTCGTAGGCACAGAAATGATCACCTACTTAGATTAAAAAATAAATACAACAGATGCAGATGTGCCCGCGACAGTCCCAATACAAGCTTAATATATCAACTGCGTGCATCATATGTTCCTGCAGGGACTTTGACTACCAAACCGTCCAAATCTTTAGTTAAGGTGATCTGGCAGCCAAGTCTTGAAGTGTCTGTGAGTCCATAGGCCAAATCAAGCATGTCACGTTCCTCATCACAAGCATCGTCTGGTAGCCTGATAAATAAGAATAATAATGTCAATTTCAATTAAAATTAATTCAATAATAGAACATTATTGTGTCTATTGAAAACCAGAAAAAATTAAATCCATAAAACAATTGACTAATTTTGATGCAGGAAGATCCAATTACAATAAATTTCCTTAATATTTAAAAACAATTATCCACTAAAATTTAATATCAGATTTATTAAATAAACATACTTGTCATAATCTTCTTGCTTAAGCACAACATGACATGTTGAGCAAGTCACAGTTCCCTCACATGCTCCATAGCCATCAATATCAAGGTCATTGTTCACCACTACATCAAGAAGACTGTCGCCAACTTTACCATCAGCCTCCAGACTCCGTCCATCTGGCATTACAAATGTTACTTTTATCCTGAAAATGGTTTAATATAAAATACTTAATAATTGTACTTTAATGTTCCTATTATAATTTCAAAAATATTAATATAAATATTGTTTACTTAAAATGTTGGAAATTAGGATGACTAAAAACTATATTTACATGCAAACAATTTAAAGCCTAATTTATTTTAGATCTTGTCATATTTCAATTATATGACAAATATGTGCTTTTTTCTCACATCTTCATTACAATAAATTTATCATTCTATAATATCTATATAATTCTAGAAGAGATCGCCCAAAAGCGATAAGGCCGCCAGTTGCCCTCCTTTTCATTTAATTATGTCAATTGTATTATGTTTCTGTATAAATATATAAATATATCTTTGTGAAGTCTAAATTGAAATAACCCCAATATTGCTCAGTGAATAACAAACAATTTTGAAGAGGTGCTACCATAACTTATATAAGTTAATAAGAATAGTAGCTCAGCAGGTTTCAGCAAGTGGTTTTGAAAATTTACATTACTTAAGTGTTGTGTTAAAATACAGCGACAGAGTGGAAGAGAAATTTGTAATATAATATAGGGACTTAAGATTATTTATCTACTTACTTATCTTCTTGCAAGTGAAGTCGAGTCGTTGATAAAGGCACAATACTTCTGTAATTGCCTAAACTTAATAATTTACCGTTAAATCTAGTCGAAACCACTTTCGACTTTGCCATAGTCCTTAATAAATGTCTAAACATTTTGAAATATTTTTCGCTACAAATTCACTTAGACACAACAAGATACCGTTAGCTACACATTATATATTATAATTATCAAATCTCAAAATCGACTTGACCTTGAATTTATGAATCCTAAATTTTTGTAACATTTGGCGATTCTTACTGCTGATAACGACATTGACAAATTACAGGTAAAGCATAAACAATGACATGTTTCGTAATGAGTGACAGTTGTGCCAATGGTCCGTGGTTAACTTTTAGTTTTTATGATGTTTCTTTTATGTAATTTAATGTGTTGAGTCGTAAATTTTAAAATAAATAATAATAAATACAAGTATAATATCATACTAAATTCGTAAAAAATAGAATTTAAATTTTGACATTGCTATTCTCCCACTGTGCTACCTAATCTGTGCGTAGTTATGTATTTTATTGAAGTGAAACTTCGTTATCGAGGTTGGAAAAAAATTTAGTGTAACATTTTTTCGTTACGCGTCACATTTTTCGGTTACGCGCCATGTTGCTTTTTAAGTCAAACTTCTTTATCGACGTATGGGAGAAATTTTGTAGCAAATCGTCACGTTTTTCGGGTTGGGTGTTAAATACCACCTCACGTTTTTGACGATACTAATTATCTAGGAGTGTCCGGGGACCTTCATTGGAACACCTCCAAGTGAGTTTTGCTCCGAAACGCGTCTTAATATTTTTATAAAAAATTTAAAGTTTTGTGTAATGTATTAAAATTTGTAAACAATCCGCCATTTTCTACTTTTCTATTGGTTATAAGTGATGTGACGTTCACTTAAAAAATCGTGTTTTTAATTTATCGATTGTTAATAATCGTTTTATTTATTTATCGATTATTTCCTCATTTTTGAAATTTAAAGTTATAGAATAATCAACATTGAAATTAACCTAATTTCGTGTTGATAGATTATAGGGTTCCGAAATTTTTTGAAATTATCGATACCTACTCGTCTGTATTTTCTAATTAGTACTTGTATTTCATTGTTTGCAACTTTCTATATTATTTAATTTTTACTAGAATAAAGTGTTTACTTTAATATCCAAAAAGTACCCAAAACCGAATCAGAGCACCCCACTATCCACGTGGTCTTGTCTGTCTTACCCCTAGAGTGTATATAAATAATCGGAGGCGCGGAGGAAGAGCAGCCCCCACCCGCTGTAACAAAGCACAGGCATTATGAAAGCTGTAGCGGCTGAGGCTGGTCGCCGAAGGCGACCAAAAAGCCGAGGTTGCGGAGGCTTGAATAAAATGCCTGTGCTTTGGTACGCAAGGGTGGAGGGGCTGCATTTCCCGTAGCGCCGGAGCTGTCCACAAAAAAATTTTTATTTAGATTGGTTAGGTTAGAGTTAGTATATGAATATTTGGTCGCCGAAGGCGACCAGGACGCCGAGAAGCCGAGGCTTGAATAAACAATTACTATTTAGATCGGAGCTGTCCACAAAAACAAATATTATTTAGATTGGTTAGGTTAGAGTTAGTATATGAATATTTGGTCGCCGAAGGCGACCAGGACGCCGAGAAGCCGAGGCTTGAATAAACACTTACTATTTAGATCGGAGCTGTCCACAAAAACAAATATTATTTAGATTGGTTAGGTTAGAGTTAGTATATGAATATTTGGTCGCCGAAGGCGACCAGGACGCCGAGAAGCCGAGGCTTGAATAAACAATTACTATTTAGATCGGAGCTGTCCACAAAAAAAAATATTATTTAGATTGGTTAGGTTAGAGTTAGTATATGAATATTTGGTCGCCGAAGGCGACCATGACGCCGAGAAGCCGAGGCTTGAATAAACACTTACTATTTAGATCGGAGCTGTCCACAAAAACAAATATTATTTAGATTGGTTAGGTTAGAGTTAGTATATGAATATTTGGTCGCCGAAGGCGACCAGGACGCCGAGAAGCCGAGGCTTGAATAAACAATTACTATTTAGATCGGAGCTGTCCACAAAAAAAAAATATTATTTAGATTGGTTAGGTTAGAGTTAGTATATGAATATTTGGTCGCCGAAGGCGACCAGGACGCCGAGAAGCCGAGGCTTGAATAAACAATTACTATTTAGATCGGAGCTGTCCACAAAAACAAATATTATTTAGATTGGTTAGGTTAGAGTTAGTATATGAATATTTGGTCGCCGAAGGCGACCAGGACGCCGAGAAGCCGAGGCTTGAATAAACACTTACTATTTAGATCGGAGCTGTCCACAAAAACAAATATTATTTAGATTGGTTAGGTTAGAGTTAGTATATGAATATTTGGTCGCCGAAGGCGACCAGGACGCCGAGAAGCCGAGGCTTGAATAAACAATTACTATTTAGATCGGAGCTGTCCACAAAAAAAATATTATTTAGATTGGTTAGGTTAGAGTTAGTATATGAATATTTGGTCGCCGAAGGCGACCAGGACGCCGAGAAGCCGAGGCTTGAATAAACAATTACTATTTAGATCGGAGCTGTCCACAAAAACAAATATTATTTAGATTGGTTAGGTTAGAGTTAGTATATGAATATTTGGTCGCCGAAGGCGACCAGGACGCCGAGAAGCCGAGGCTTGAATAAACACTTACTATTTAGATCGGAGCTGTCCACAAAAACAAATATTATTTAGATTGGTTAGGTTAGAGTTAGTATATGAATATTTGGTCGCCGAAGGCGACCAGGACGCCGAGAAGCCGAGGCTTGAATAAACACTTACTATTTAGATCGGAGCTGTCCACAAAAACAAATATTATTTAGATTGGTTAGGTTAGAGTTAGTATATGAATATTTGGTCGCCGAAGGCGACCAGGACGCCGAGAAGCCGAGGCTTGAATAAACAATTACTATTTAGATCGGAGCTGTCCACAAAAAAAAATATTATTTAGATTGGTTAGGTTAGAGTTAGTATATGAATATTTGGTCGCCGAAGGCGACCAGGACGCCGAGAAGCCGAAGCTTGAATAAACAATTTCTATTTAGATCGGAGCTGTCCACAAAAACAAATATTATTTAGATTGGTTAGGTTAGAGTTAGTATATGAATATTTGGTCGCCGAATTTTCAATTATTTTTAATATTAAAATCGAATACAAAAATCGATTTTCACTTTAAAAAAATCGATTATTTTTCACATCCCTATTAATTTTATAAACTTAATCGGCCATTTTGAATGTGGTTTATGCTAGACTAGCGGTAATTAGTTTTACAGTGCAAAGTTTACTTTATTAATCCGTTTCTTTTTATTTTCACGTGAAAGTGCGTTATTTTATTTGCATTTTTTGAAACTTGGCTTTACATACATAATCAACACTGATTTCTCGCGATCATTTTCAGATTTATAGTGATGGCGTCTACAAGTTCTACTCGTGAAAATGATTTTGAGGACGATGGGTCCGTTGTGAATCGTGACTTGAATAGTGAGGAAGTGGTCTCATTGTGGAATCTGATTAGATTATATAAAAAATTAGGTACCAATGAGCAGTGTGTGGCATTCGCTGAAGAAAATGGTTTAGTGCATTCTCAAAAGCAATGTAGTACACATCGTAAACCCATGAAAATTGCTAAATCGACGAATAAAACATTTGGTTCATGGTGTTGCACGAAAGGAAATTGCAGATCAAAAACTAAAGTTCCTAGAAATAAAGGAACATTTTTCGAAAATATTAAAATAGAATTAGTTCATGTTTTCTATTTATTATATGCGTTTTCGCAAAATTGGAGCTATCTTACAACCATGCGTGAAGATCCATATAAAGATGATAGACTTAAATCCTTAAGCCGAGTTACTATATGTGATTGGTATAGTTATTGTGGGGAAACTATAGTTATATATCAAATGGATAAAACTCAAGCGGTAGGAAAGATTGGTGGCCCAGGGAAGATAGTCCAGATTGATGAATCTAAATTTGGGAAAAGAAAATATAATCGAGGTAATTATTTTATAGCACTATTAATTAATATTTACTATATGTGTTATTAGTCTGTTTTACTCCTAGAGTGTAATTTAAAAACCAGAGCTGTCCAATAACCCTATTATTATCACATCTACAAAATTTATTTAACTCATTAAGCTTATTAACTAATTCTTTAATTGTTGTAGGACGACATATTGAGGGCTATTGGGTCCTTGGTATGATCGAAGACAAATCTGAAGACCTAAGATTGGAAGTGTGCCCAAATAATATTCGATCAGCTGATATATTACTTCCTCTCATTCAAAAACATGTTGAAGTTGGTACTATCATTCATACTGACTTCTGGAAAGCATACGATTGTCTGGCAGACCATGGGTACATACATCAAAAAGTGAATCATTCAGACCCTGAAAACCCGTTTGTGGCTGAAGATGGAACCCATACGCAAAGGATTGAGTCACAGTGGAGGGCAGTAAAAAGATTTTTTAAAAAGGATAATTATAATAACTCTGAAAATTTTTCAGATCATGTCTATGAATATTTGTGGCGGCGAAACAATACAAAACATAAAAAAGACCCATTTTTGGAGCTAATTAAAGCTGTCAAATATGTCTATAAATTAAACACTGACTGACCGATTTTTTATTTTGCTATATTGCTTATTTTGCTTTTGTTTACTGCTCTACACGTGCTATGGCTATGTATTGGGCCCTGGTGGTTTTAGTGGGTATGGGGACCATCGCATTTTACGACCTTGATCCCCACACTCCCCGCGCCAATCACACTTGCCCAGGCGCGGGGGCCCGTAATCGGGTTTCCCCAGGTGAAAAAAAAAAAAAAAAAAACGTTTTTTTTGACGCGTTTCCGGAGCAAAACTCACTTGGAGGTGTTCCAATGAAGGTCCTCCGAGACTCCTAAATAATTAGTATCGTCAAAAAAGTGCGATGGTATTCAAAACCGTTACCCGTTTTTCAATGATAGTAATAATTCTATGTATTACAATTAATGAAATTCTATAATAATCTTCGTAGTAATAAGGTAAAATGAAATATTTGTATTCATGTCTATGATAATAAAAGCCTTTTGTTAAACTTTATCTAATTTAACGAATTTCTGTAAAGTTGCATATAGTAGATCATTTTTCGAAAAATAAGATCATAAAGAAGTTTCACTTCTTACGTGTGTACACCCAGTACACGCACAATTTATTTTCATGGCTCTGGCACGGTTTGTGCATTAGCCAGCGTCAAGAATAAGATTTTTATAATTCGTGCTTGCCTTAGAAATTCGACCGTGTCCTCCATGTACGGTTTAAGCACTCGCCCAGTACCGCACATCCCTCCCAAAGGCAGAGAACAAATTTAAATTAAATTAAAACTTGCCCTCGAACCGGGAATCGAACCCGGTAACCCTCACCTAGCTGTAGTTATGTATTGTAAATGTATTTTTGCGGATATTCATTATTTGCCATTTTCAACAAGTCAGTATTTATCCGCCACTCAATATCACTAGGCACAATTTCTGATTACAATCTTTTGAACACTGTAGTTCTTAACTATGTGTTTTATATTTTGCATTATGGTATTCTAAAATTAAAAGAGAGAGGTTTTTTATTTTTTTACCCAACCTGTGTACTTAAAAGTTAGATACATGAGATTTTAAAGAAACAGCAGCCCATGAGTAGTCACTACATCGCGTATGCGTTTCCACTGTTTTAAAATAGGACATACTGAAACGTTTTCATAGCCACATTGGCTGGCTGAATAAAAGAAAAAAGTAATAAAAATATATTTATTGTAAAAACTCCTTAATAAAATGTTCGTGTTTGATAATCTGTGTGAATGTGACGTAAGTGCGTGCGTTACAGAGGTCTTCGTTAGTCGGCGCAGTTGATACAATCCCTCTGAGATAAAACCGTTCAACTCCCATTTCCCAGTCGGGGAAGGCCAGTCCACCGCCACTGTCTCCCTTGCAGAGAGTAGTTCCTGCGGGAGAACAGAGAGTATAGAATAGAATTTAAAAATCAACTAATCTATATTCTATATTAATTCTATGGAATTCAACGGTCTCGTGCATAAATTAACCTTGTTAATAAAATTACTATATAGTGACTTGTATACATTTTGAATTATAGCATGAGGTATGGGCCATGGGGCAGAATTCAATACCATACGAGGAACAAAATTTGCAATGTAATCACAGTTAAAGCATTATTCATAAAGAATAATATAATTAGTGGGCCATGGGCCATGCAATAGATCATAGAGCTCGAATTTTATATCAAAAACAAAACTTGCAATAGAAAATTACTACATCGCTATTTATGAAATAATATATTAGTGGGGGCATGGGCCATGGGGTACAACTCAGTTAAACCATATATACGACATAAACTCTCAGAAACCACAACATCAATGTATACGGAGAAACATTAATGGGGCATGGGCCACTACTCACCATTAGTATACCCGGCGCAGAATTTGTCACTGCTGATATACTCTCTAAATCCAGGCGGAGATGCAGCGATGCACCTATTCAAATCCACGTAAGGCAACTGTACCACCTGGAGGGTTGGAGATGGCTTGCCGTTTTCACCTGTGAGTCCCCAGCCAGCGATCTGAAGGAATCAGAAAAATATTTACTAATGTCAATAAATCTATATATGTACACTAGTAGACTCGGCCAAGCGTTGCTTTGGCTAAGATTTTTGTGATATTACATAGTAGTAAAATATTCAAGGGAAACGGTAGGAGAACTTATGTGAAAGGTAGATGACAGCTTATGTGAAACGTTGATAATTTTAACACAGCGCCATCTGTTAGAATTGTATCAAATAATAAACAAATATTTTGCAATAAATTAAAATTGCGACTATAATTTGAGATTTAAACTATCCTATCTCTCAAGTTGGATCGAACTGCACATGGTGTGCAAATTTGATTGATATCGGTTCGGTAGTTTAGGAGTCCATTGAGGACAAACATTGTGACACGAGATTTATATATATTAAGATTATATAAATGAATGTCGCGTTAGTTACACTATTTATAATTTAAGAACGGCTGAAGCAATTGAAATGAAAATTTGTGGTGGGGGTTAGCTTAGAATCACGAGACGGACATACTTTTCGTCCTGTTTCCGTGGGACGTGACATAAATAAAACGTGGTAACGCAACAAACAGAAAAGCGAAAAATTGATTAGTCAAAGCATCAGTCTAGCCGTTCATTTGTTAAAGTGGTATTACAAAACGCAACTGACAGCTAAACGTAATGTTATCTATGGTTAAGTATGATTGAAAATTTGACAATTAGAAGTTTTGAAGTTGATCGGTTGATGTTTACACATAAACCAATCTTTTCCGACAAAACAATAAATTGGTGAACCAATTTTGATGAGTTTTAAGTGGATTCGAGAATTATTTACAAGTTTGAAATTTTGTAATTAAGATATGTGTACAGGACACCGTCTGTCGGGTCGGCTAGTAACTAATATAACCTGAACATATACTGTAGATATAGAATTATATGATGTGAAATTTAATATATTACCTTTCCAAGTTTCCCGTCACTGAGCTGCCGCTTATCGAAATTATAGTCAAAACTTAGGCAGACAGGTCTCACGTAGGTCTTATACTGAATGGCTACGGTCAGTATCACCACGGCAATGTCTTCTTGGAAATTGGCAGCCGAGCCTTGGAAGCGGACCGGAATTTCTATCGATCGGACCTGGAAATAAAAATATAGAACCTCTTCATCGGATATAATAGAATTTTTTTAAAAAAGTGTGTGTACTTATGTACACGTGTTAGAAGTTATTCTTCTTTGGCGTAACAAGATAAAAATCTTTTGTATCCTACGTTTGCAGAAAAATTGACACTATCAATATAAAAAAGGTATTTAATACAAAGTTGATAGTTTTATTATAACGCATTAACTAGTTAAATAAAGTATATTTAAATGTCACGAAAAAAATATTTCTATAATTAAAGTAGTGCCACTGCTTTATTTATTTTTTATTCTATATATTATATAATAGTATAATAATTTATACTATGCCAGTTTTGCCAGCTCGATAGAATTTTATTTATATATTTAAATAAAGTATATTTAAATGTCACGAAAAAAATATTTCTATAATTAAAGAAATTGATATTTTTTATTTCAAAATTATCTGTGAAGGTCCCTAGGGTTTCCCTAACGCGCCAAAGGAAGTATAACTTCAAATTTTTTAAATTGTTCTTCGTATTTTTTAAATTGTTGCCATGTACAAAATTAAATGATTTTCCAAAATGATTGCAATGCAATGTGCTAAAATTGCATAAAAATATGGCGCATTTAATCTGAATTCCAGAGTACATATAAAAAGAACCACTGCTGGATTTTTTTTTATCAGCGCACTTAGCCAAGTGAAGGCAAATATCGTGATAAAATAAAAAGGAATGGTCTACAATCTTTGGGTTGGAGGTTGCGGTGACATATGTCAGACAGAAAGTGAGATAGTCAGTCTTCGAGACTGAGACCCATCGCCATTACTATTATTACAAACAAACAAAAATTAAAGTATTTTTCTGGGATTATCTAATCTAACAATAACTAACTCCGATAAATCCTTACATCCGATTTCTGGGCGTCTTTATCCATTTTATCATTCCATGGCCGATACAGCTTTCCAACTGCGACGGCGTATTTATTGGCTGGCTGCTTCTTTGACAGGTCGTCCCAGAAACAGTGAGCAGCTGAAATGACAATTAACATATCATTTTTAGATAAGTCAATTTTAAACATCAATTCCGACATTATTTACATTTTGTTTATGCGGGCTAACGGGCAGGAGGATCACGTATGTTAAGTAATAGCGCCATCCATGGACTCTCACATTGCCAGAAGGCTCACAAGTGCGTTGCCGGCCTTTTAAGAATTGGTACGCTCTTTTCTTGAAGGACCCTAAGTGAAATTGGTTCGGAAATACTTCAGTGGACTGGTTACGCATAGTGGAGGCAAAAACTGCCTTAAGAAACGCTCAGTTGTGGAACCACAGACGTCGAGGTGATACAAGTGGAATTTTGAATTTTGCCTCGACAACATTCTTATATTTTCAGCTTCTATGGGCTTGACTTACCAGAAATAATAACGGTGGTGCTAACCAGGGAGCCACCGCAAATCTGCTTGTATGGAGTGTAGTGTTTGCTGAAAATGCCTGCATGCCACGGCAGCTCACCGCGTTCAGCCGGCAAACCACCAATCGCCAATTCCACCCCAGTAGGAGTTGCCGTACCACACTCTGGAAGGATATTCATTCATATTCAGCCTGTTTACTCATTGAACTTTGATAATGTCTTTCACTGAATCCTGCGAACTTATAATAAATTCTATCGAGCTGGAAAAAATGGCATAGTTGATAGTATAAATTATTAGAATATAATATATAGAATAAAAAATAAATAAATCAGTGGCACTACTTTTTTTAGGTCTGGGCCTCATATTTCTGAATCTGTTTCAAGATCATTTGTTAACCTAATAGGCAAGTAGGTGATCAGCCTGTGCCTGACACGCCGTCAACTTTTTGGGTCTAACGCAAGCGTTAGATGTTTTCCTTCACAGTTCGAGCGAATGTTAAATGTGCACATAAACAGAAAGTCCATTAATGCACAGCCGGGAAGCGAACCGACGGCCTCAGGGATGAGAGTATCACGCTGAAGCCACTAGGTCAACACATAAATTCTTAGATTCATCGTGTTGACGTAATCTTTATTTTATAAGCGTTAAAAAAATATGACAATTGACTTCTTTGTGAAAATGTTTTTAAGCTATTGCATAGATTTTATTGCGGACTTTGAGCGCGGCGACCGAATCAAGAAATTCCGTAACGAAAATAAACTTAACACACGATGACGTAATATAGGTGCAGCCGATACGCGTTAGAGCGGGACAGAACGCATACTGCGTATTCACATCTCTGACGAGATCGGTGACGTAGCGTGAGCGCGGCCGGTGCTGCCGGTACGCGTTGGAGTGAGACAGACTATATAGGCGTGTAAGTCTGAGTCTGGTACTGAGTAGTAGATTGAATTAATATCAAAGAAAATTAATACTGCATAAATAAAAAATTATAATTGCATAAGTTGATAAAAAATGCTATGCAATAGCTTTACCGCGGCAGTCCCCGAGTGCCACACGTTTTTTTGCTCGTGTAGCTATACATCTATTAATAGCATTAAGAGGATGGAGGATAGGGTAAATAAAACAAAAAATAAATAAATAAAAATATTTTATTATCATCCATCCTATTAATACATAAATTTTTGTCTTAAAGTATCATTATACCTGGATTTTTCCAGAAGTGTTTGTCAGAAGAAACTTGTTTTGCGTATATAAAGTTCAAAAATATTTTTTTACAAAATGTATATACAGTAGAAAACTTAATTAATTAATTGTCTCTCCTCAAAGCGAAAGCACAATGAGAAGGAGACGAAAGAGTACTTTAGTTAAATTCAATTAGATTGTCCATTTTATGGATTTATCTTTGGTATATGTATCTTAAAATGAGTAAATAAGGAGATATTGCTAAATTTTAAATTTGGCGCCATAATTCTAATATGGAGCAAGATTACCAAATTGTCAAAGTTGACATTCGAAAATGACGCGTCAATTTAAACTAAATCTATATTCTTGTAGTCTGTGCGGAATGACAACCGCCATTGTTATGCGAAATAATAGTTGTTTATTATAGACATTTAATTGTCACTATCAATTATCCAGATAATTGCTTAGGAACTATAACCAGTGTTGTCAACGTAAGAAAAAAGGTAATTTGGCATAGCTGCAACTTCTTATAACTTTTTTTCGAACATTCTGAGGTAGCATGTTTGGTAAAAAAAAAATGGCTGTCTGTAAAGTCGGTTTACGGACGATAGTTTAACGTGACAACGTCATAATTAAATGATTGCATACTTTTACTACTAAAATTGAATCATTTTAATTGAATTATCATTATTTTGTATGGATACAAAGAAGGAATGAATCCTCGGACGCATAGACCAATCGAGTGGAAGAGAGATAGATGCGTACAATGAGTGTAACAGGACAATGAGTCATCCTTATTCGTGCGTGCAGCCGGCCTTCATCGTTTTATTAGACGTTGTCAATAAACAATATTTCAATACATATTTGAATATATAATTATTCTATTTAGCTATTAACAAAAATGATGTGAGAGAAACACAGATAAGCATGTCTACACAGATTCATAGTCAAGACCTCGCGCTATGTCTGACTCCTACACGTCAAAAATGTTTAGAATTTTGACAACCGAGAGATATCGCTGTTTGGATTCTTAATCTTACCCTAAGTCAACTTTTACTGTCCCTGCATGAAACAGAGCATAGCACCCAGTTGAAAAAATATTGTCTACGGTAAACGTTGTGTAGTTATGGCAAATCTTCGTTTACACAACTTTACAGATATCACAAAACCATGACAGGAGTCAAATAGAGATTTCCCGCCAAAACGTAAACATAAATAAGGAATGAGTATTAATTAGGAACACAGCAATCATTATAGGAACAAATAAGTTTACAGTATTTTCTTATTTTACCCACTTATTGCAAATTTATTTATTTGCCCATATTTGGCAGCGTCTATAGTGAAATCAGACATTACAGAAACTTCCGTACGTCAAAATCCAAAACATTTTTGACGTTGGCAACACTTCGGGGTAGGTTTTTTTAAAATTGGAATCTAATAGAAAATTAGAAGAAATTAGACTAAGTAAGAAAATATAATATTGTCTATGTGTGAGTATTAGTTAAGCTTAAGCACCAACTTAGTACGTTATGTTTTCAGCTTGATCTTAAAGAAACACGATTGCCGACTCCGGCGCATGCACATACACATCAGAATAATTTGAGCTCATATATATTTTTATATTATTATTTTTATCTTTTTTTTTTTGACGAACCCATTCTCCAATCAGCATAATCTATGTCATTATCCGGTCCTCGCGATGTGCTTTCTAAGTCATTAGGTTTATTAGTAGTGAATATACTGTTTTGGCCGCCATTTTGATTTGTAAAATTTGTGTTTTGTATTGGGATAATTACATCGGTCGGGAACGACCAACTATTCTGTATTTCATTTAAAGTGTTCTGTGACGTATCCCCTATACTTTGTGAATTGTCAGCACTATTCACTGCATGGTCACCACTATTCACTGAATTGTGACCACTATTCATTGAATTAGGACCATTATTTACTGAATTGTGACCACTATTCACTGAATTGTGAACACTATTCATTGAATTAGGACCACTATTTACTGAATGATCACCACTATTCACTGAATTGTTACCACTATTCAGTGAATTGTGACCACTATTCATTGAATTAGGACCACTATTTACTGAATTGTGACCACTATTCACTGAATTGTGAACACTATTCATTGAATTAGGACCACTATTTACTGAATGATCACCACTATTTACTGAATTGTCACCACTATTCACTGAATTTTGACCACTATTCACTGAATTATGACCAATATTCAGTGAATTTTGACCACTATTCACTGAATTATGACCAATATTCAGTGAATTTTGACCACTATTCACTGAATTATGACCAATATTCAGTGAATTTTGACCACTACTCACTGAATTATCCCCACTATTTTGAAACGCACTCGCATACAGAAAGCTCGATACGTACAATTCAATTTTGTCCCTGATAATGACAGTGATATTAGTTCCATTTTTGGCCAAACCTGGTTGGCAGAGGACGATGGTGTCCCAGCTTCCTTCGATGCACCGCATGAGGGGCAAGACGGAGGGCGAATAGTAGTTTGGTTTCCGGCATTCGGGACGTACGACGGTGCCCGAGGGTTCGTATAGGGTGCAGGGCTTCGTGCCCTCCTGCTCTCCAGATAATACGCAGCGATATTCCACGCTCTCGTGGGGGTTGAGACGGCAAAACTCTGAAATTAATATTATTATTATTTTTTTTTTTTTAAAGACAATTCACTCCAATTGACCTAGTCCCATGCTAAGCTGGTGAAGCTTGTGTTATGGGTACTAGGCAACGGATATACATACATATTAAAGATAGATAGAATAGATATAAATACATATTTAAGCACCCAAGACCTAAGCACAACACCAAATGCTCATCACATCGATGGTCGTCTCAGCCGGGGATCGAACCCGGGACCCATGGATTCGCAGTCAGGGGTACTAACCACTAGACTAATGAGTCGTTTAGAACAACCAAACAATAGAGAGACATTATTAAAAGTCCTAATGGGGCTTTGGGATACAATTCTGTGTCTGTTTTTGATACATTTGTATAAAACCAAACAAATTCTATACAATTGAACTGATTGTGAACTAAAAGTTATACTCAATACTCAATCAGAAAATTACAATGAATATAAAAACCCGACCAAACAATTTCTACTTACGAATACACTCCGGGAGGTCATCAGCCCACGAGCCGTCGAAGCACAGCACGGTGCTCTTCCCTTTGACCCGGAAGCCCCAATTGCAGGTAACGTTCAGGTTGAGAGCTTTGAACCGTTGGCCTGGACGAGCCGAAGGCTGCCCCACCACTGAGTATACCCCGTTAGGGGGGGAAGGCGGGACTATGCAATTTCCGGTACCCATTCTGAAATATTATATAAAATTTACGTCAATTTCCTTGAAGCCAAAAAAGGTATTTCAAATAATTTAGCAGTAGTGGCTCCAGCGCGGGCCTCATTCCTGGTTCCTAGGTTCGATCCTCGACTCTGCACCAATGTACTTTCTATGTGCGACCTATACCAACCAAGAGTTGTAGCCCCGTCTCAGGATTGTTACTTAACTGAGCAAGTGTATTTAATTTAATTTAATCAGAAATATTCTATTGTTACACTATTGTCTTAAAATTGTCTGTACGTACGGAGGTCTCGTAGTGGGAGCGGCGATTCTATTGCACAATTCATCCGATTCGTCAGATCCGTCCGCACACTGCTGTACCTGTAATTTGGGCCTAATATTTAAATATTGATCCAATAGTAGATTTTATTAAGAGATCAGTTTTATATATGGCGTGCGTGTCTTTTATTAAACTCCCCCAAACGGCTGGACCGATTTTGGTTAAATTGTGGATTTGAGTATAGTTAAGGTTTATTACTAGTTGAATCGTTGTTAAGTTCCAAATTATTGTATTTTAGAGGTGCATACAGGACGTCTATCGGGTCCACTAGTGTATTTAAATTTTTCGAGAAGGCTTTAGAGCGATTTTAGGTATTTTTTATGTATCATGGTGGGTTTTTAAATGATTTGCTATGAAAAAATTATATAATAGAAATAATTTATATGGTACAGCAAGGGTTAGGTTACCATAGGGTCAGCTTTTACATTTAGTAAAGAACCTCCTCTTAATGAACGACGATTTACGACTATTAAGAACAAAAGTTATGATTTATGATTATTTACGGTAATCTTCATTCTTCATTCCAAAATCTACTAATGAATCTGTGAAACTTACTTTTAGTAAAAAAACGTGATTTCTAATTTAAAGAACCTTTTCACTCAATAACCAAAAATTTAATTGCAAGTATCAAAATCTTTAGGCACCCTAAAATGTTCACTCAAACTTTGACGCACTAACGTCTGGCCATAATTCACAGAACACTTTAAAAGAAATACAGAATACTTGGGAGTTTCCGACCGATGTAAAATCCTTAGTCAGGGGCCATCCATAAAGTACGTCACACGTTAATGGGGAGGGAGGGTATCACCGAAGTGTGACATCGTGTGACAAGGGGCATGGGGGGGTCAATACTTTTGTGACGTCACATGTTAAAATTTTAAATACTTAAAACCATTGATATACAAAAAACCCAAGATGCACAGTCTCGAATAAAAGTAACGCTCGAAAGTGTCCCGAAACACTATTTCTGTCTCTTTCTATAAGTTACAAGCATATATTATTGCAAAATCAACCTTACGCGAATTGTTTAAAGTTGTTATTACAACGATTATTTTTAAATACATACATGAATTTAAAAAATGTGTGACGTCACATCAAGAGGGGGGGTTATAAAAATGTGACAACCTGTAACAAGGACGGGGGGAGGGGTTCAAAAGTCCTAAAATTCGTGTGACGTACTTTATGGATGGCCCCTTACACCAAAACTTTCACTCAAACCTTGATGCACTAACAAGTATCAAAATCCTTACCCCGTCACAATTCGATCCCTCATCGACACAAGCGCCGTACGCGCATTGAAAAGCGTACCCGGGGCATTTGTTACCCGCACAGCTGCGCACGGTCTCGTCCGAGCCGTCGTTGCAGTTGGCCGTGCCGTCGCAGTGATCAGCCGCGGGTATCAGCTGCCCGTCGTCGCAACGGAATTGGCCTCTGAAAGGTATATGGATACTTTTAACTGCGTAAACACAATACAGAAGTACTCAACTGGTCCCCAATTTAGAAGGCGGACAGACCAGATTAGGGAACAGCTGATACATGGAAGAGAGTATCAGAATGCAATAATGACATAAAAATATCAATGTGTTTAAATGTAAAGTGATTTTATGAGCTAGTGTTACATGTAAGTTGGAGGTGTTTGGGTAGAGCAGCATTCAAGTATTACGTCACGCAATCTTGGAGATTATTACCCCCCATGTAACGCGCCGTAACGCTTTTCTGTACCCAATAGTAAAACGTTTCGTGACCACCTAGTGAGTAGTGACTCTTTATACCTAAAAGTTACCATTATGTGGTGTAAAGTACTGGAAAGTCGAAAATAATATTAACAATAAAACGTAATTCAATCCCCGCCCCGCATCGTAACGTTTTACAAAAGGACCCCCCCCCCAAAATTCGTTACGTAATACTTGAACGCTCCCTAGGGCGATATTATTATTACTAAACACAATTAGAGAGAAAGGGACGAATAATTCAGTTAAGGGTTTTGTGACGTACCGCGCGCACACTGCTACTTGTTGTTATCGAGGCGCCACCCACGCGAGCGATTCACGTAATAAATAAGATTTCAATCCAGGTGGACCTATTTCTTTGTACACTAGAGTATACAAGAGCTGTTTGCTATGTTATTAGTTAAAAGATCTATAATAGGTATATATTTTAATTGTATAATTATAGTAGGATATTTAACATAATTATGTGGGAAATAAATAAAGAATTCAATTTTAGTGAAGATGGAGATGGAGGACCTGAGCGGAATCTGACATAATTGGGAAAGCCAAAGACCAGACCTGTCATCTTGAGAGAATAGAAAATTAAGAAATTCATCAAGTGCATACCGAATCTCTTCAGTCTCATTCCGGCACCGTGGCAGCAGTTCGTCGGAGTCGTCTGCGCATTCCTTGACTCCGTTACACGGAGCTGTGCCGTCCACGCACGCGCCGTACGTGCAACGGAACCAGTTGCTCTGACATCTGAAATTTTCATAGGAAATCGTGTAATTATTTTGTTATTTATTTAACATAATCATTTCATTTACATAGCATCACTTTCAAACACTGTCGAGTTAGGTATTACTTAGTTTTTTTTTAAGAAACGGGGGCAAACCCGTGGACACTCAATGCCCGAAGGCTCGCGTTGCGTTTTAAGAAGTGGTAGGTCTTGAAGGACCCCAAGTCAATTCGGTTCGGAAATACTTCAGTGGGCAGCTGGTTCCACATGGTGGTCGCGAACGTCGAGATAATACGTGGTGAATTTCGTATTCTGCCTCAACGTTCGATGAAGAAACTCCGTTGCGGGTATTAATCCTACAACTCTTTTGAACACTCCACGGTAAATGCGATAGAAAATGCATCTTATGTATTTAATAATTTTATTGAATTTTTAATTCAATTAATTAATTTTATAAAAAAAGGGTGCGTGTACTTATGTACGCGCGTAAGAAGTTATACTTCTTTGGCATTATTAAAAATAGTTTTTGATTGCATGCAAATAATTAATTACAATTAAATAATCAAAGACTGGAAAAGGAGTCATTATAGTCAATTAAGTTCAGTTTACATTTGAAAAATTAAATAAAAAATTATTTATTATTATTCTCTTACATTAAGTGTAACATAAATTCTATTTAGTTAAAAGTATATATAATTATATATTTAGAACATCTCTACCAAACACTAAGAAGTATGTTGTAGCTTTGGCAGTATTGCACAATATAAAATTAATAAATTTCTTTGAAAAATTAATCAAAACTCCTTTATTTGTTTAAAAGGTAAATGACAAATGTCATTATGGTCATTCAAAATTCTTGGCATACGAACTTCACGCATATTCTATTTCTTTTTACTTGTAGATTGTCTTATTCCTATCTCGCTCGCGCACGCTATAATCACACTCCCAATTTTGTGTCACAAGTGCGCGCGCATTATAAAATTTCACTCTCATAAATCTTTCATAACTCGCCTAAAGAAGTATAACTTCAAAAAAACAAAAGCGGTATAAGTTGGTATCACTTAACATTAGATGAGCCTCCTGCCCGTTTGCTCCTTTTAAATTAAAAAAGCCATTGAAGACAGTTGACACTTAGCTTCGAAAAAAGTGTTTCGTTTGTGCTAGAAGTTCAGAAGTACTTACGGAGTATTCCTACACAGTGGGAAGGTCTCGTCGCTTCCATCTGGACAGTCGGTGACACCATCACACTTGCCATCCAGGCCTATACAGCTCCCGTCACGACACTGCCATTGATTCCGTCTGGAATTGTTTTATTTATATTTCGTGTACGAGAAACTTTATGAACTTGTGGAGAATGACGTACTACTCTTCCTAGAGTTTTCATAAACGCCAAAACGAATGTACTAACTCAACAATTGTTTCACAAATAAAAGAAAAAAATTGGTTGTCTGTAAAACCGGTTTACGGATCGTCCGTTTAGTTTAACGTAACAACGTCATAAAAAAACCATTAATGAAATGATTGCATATTATATATTTTATTAATAAAATTAATTCATTTTTATTGAAATATCACTATTTTGTATGGATACAAAGGAGTGAATCCTCGGACACATAGGCCAATCGAGTGGAAGAGAGATAGATGCAGCGCAAGCGTACAATGAGCGTAACGGGACAATGGGCGTAACGGGCATTGATTTATTAGACGTTGTCACGTTAAAAAGAAAGAATATTTCCCTTTGAGAGGCTCTGTTTAATTAAATTTCGGGGTCGTATTGAGAAAGTTTTGTACAGGTTGAGACTGTCTTGCGGATGAGACCACAATTCACATAATTAATATATTTTTTTCAGTAATTATTAAAAAAAACTCCAAATATCTTTATATATATATATATTATCTCCTGTACGTGTGTATGTCACTGAACTCCACTTAAACGGCTGGACCGATATGAATGAATTTTTTTTGTATGCGGTTGGGTGGTGCTGCAGTCGGTGACTAGGTTATTAATAAACAGCTGGTATAAATCTGTGCGTGTAATTAAAATCTCTAAAGGACTGGACAGATTTTGATAAAACATTTTGTGTGTTCAAGTTGAGTCGTGAGTCGTGAATCATTAAATTATTAGATTTTTTTGTAAGTATGACGTGTGTACAGGCAACGTCTGTCGGATCCGCTAGTATATATATATATATTTGAGACTGAAAAAGACTCACCTACATGATGTCGACTGTCTCCGAGTGCGATGTAAAATTAAATCGTCAGCATTGAAGTCAGGTCTGGAATATACAATTTTTTTTATATTGGCTCCTAGAAGACGTTTTTACTTAAAGTTATTCTCCATATTTGCCCCCCAACGACTTTTTTCTATTCTCAGACGTCTAGACAATGCTCGCTGGACAGAAATTTTGCTCTGGTGAAGAGGTAATCGCCGAAAGTGAAAACTATTTTGATGCTAAAGACAAATCAAAGAGAAGACAGACAGACATAGACCGCTATAATCGTTGTATAGCTCTCGATGGCAACATTATTAAATAATCAAGTCAAATGCTAGCTACCCATTAAGGGGATCACCAGGGTGGGTTTGCATCTGCTAACCTAGAGAATCTAGAAAACCTTTTTTTATAATAAATTTATATTTTTTCTATTGAGAGGACGGGTCCTTCTGGCAATGTAAGTGCCCATGGGCGGCGGTATCCCTTAACATCGGATGAGCCTCCTGCCCGTTTGGTCTAAAAAAACGTGTGTGTACTTATGTACACGCATTAGATGTTATACTTTGGCGTAACAAGATAAAAATCTTTTCAAAAATTTTATTCTATATATATAATTTTAATTTATTCTACGTTTGTAGAAAAAACGATACAAAAAACAATAAAAAAAACTAAAATGTTGACTATAGCTAACTTCAGATTGTCGGTTTTTCGTGACGTTGTATCAAAAAAATTTACTCTGATCAGTTTTCCCTAACGCGCCAAAAGAAGTATAACTTCAAAAGGTTAAAATATACATACGATAATCCATTACAGGCGATTTCGTCGCTGCCATCCAGACAGTCCCATTTCCCGTCACAAGCCTGATCATAGGTTATACACGCTCCATCACTGCACGAGAACTCTCCAATACTGAAATACCAATTTTGGCTTTTTTATAGTATAGCGGATCGAACCAGCCCACGGGACGCCCAAAATGGGCATTTCTCGCAGCCCATTGGCACTCATTTAGTGGATGCATTTGAGGCAGTATGTTTTTTAAGCAATAGGTCGATTCCACATAGTAGCAAACTATGTAAATTGCCGTGATGTAGACGATTTGTTTAAATAACAGGTGAACGAAATGTTTTCCCAAAAATCAATTCAAAATAATTTCATTAAAAATACCTACTAGCGGCCAAATTTTGATAGGCAACTTGGTAGATATAATATACTAGCAGACTCGGCCAAGCTTTGCTGTGGCTAAGATTTTTGTTATATTACATAGTAGTAAACTATTCAAGGGAAACGGTAGGAGAACTTATGTGAAACGTTGATAATTTTAACACAGCGCCATCTGTTAGAATTGTATCAAATAATAAACAAATATTTTGCAATAAATTAAAATTGCGACTATAATTTGAGATTTAAACTATCCTATCTCTCAAGTTGGATCGAACTGCACATGGTGTGCAAATTTGATTGATATCGGTTCGGTAGTTTAGGAGTCCATTGAGGACAAACATTGTGACACGAGATTTATATATATTAAGATTCTCCTAATTATACTCGTAAATATACGTAAAAATTGGGTTTTTAGCAAACAACCGATGAGCGCAAGTGCGCACTAATCCTGCAGCCGGATCTCGTACTAAGGCCCTTTCTCCACTGCTCCGGTCCGGCGTCGGATACCGGAATGAGTCATGAGAAAAATATCGGAAGGCCGGATTGCGCTTCTCCACTATATCCGATCCGACAATAATCGATACTTGTATATTTATCATGCAACACCTATATTAACTAAAACCCATATACTTTGTTTTATTAATAAAACGTTCTAAATTCTGAATATTTTACTGCCCTGTCAAGTTTATTACTTTTTTATATTGTCTATCTTAAAATATTACAATCTACATAATAAATAGTTCACTAATACTATGGTATAAAAATATAAATAAATAGCAACATAATTTGGTTTAATGGTCCAGTTTATCTAGATTCTTTCAAATTAAACAAACTATAAATAAACCTGTGAATAATAATTTATAACCTCTTGGATACTTGGATATACTTGGACCGATAAAACGTCGCGTTCCGATCTAGCAAGTTATCGGATCGTTAAAAACCGGATGCCGGAGTAGTGGAGAAGTACGTAACTACTGTTGTGAGTTTCTAAATCGGATCGTTAATTAATGTTTGCCCGTTGCCGGACCGAAACAGTGGAGAGACTAACGGTTCGCAAAATAAAGTGTCTTGTGAAGCTGACCGTGGAAGACTTACAGAAAATATTGATTTGGTATAGTATGATCTAAATATTGGTGTGTGTGTGTATGGTAATGATTAATTAAATTTCCAGTGCGATCGGTTCCCCGTGCTTTGCATCCAACGCCTTCCCTCCATCCTCACCAGATCATCAGTCCACCTATTCGGACAGTCATCTGTCCACACAACGTTTCGCCGCTTGGTCCTCGGACTCCATTCCAGGAATATTTTGCCCTATTCTTACGGACAGTCTCGTTGGCAAAAAAATTAAATATATTTACCTGCATGAGTTTAGGATTCCCTTGTCGTAAATCCGTGCTGAAGTAGCTAAAAATATAAATAGTATATTAGATATGGCCAAAAAGTCGTGGATCAAACACAACTAGGGGATAGATGAGGTCATCAGCTGCACAAAATTGTTCTACGGGAGGTCCCTAAGCTCAACCCCTGCAGAGTTATAATTTATTTTGTGTTTTCATAAGAAAATTGACTTTTTATACTAAGGCCCTTTCTCCACTGCTCCGGTCCGACGTCGGATACCGGAATGAGTCATGAGAAAAATATCGGAAGGCCGGATTGCGCTTCTCCACTATATCCGATCCGACAATAATCGATACTTGTATATTTATCATGCAACACTTATATTAACTAAAACCCATATACTTTATTTTATTAATACAACGTTCTAAATTCTGAATATTTTATTGCCATGGCAAGTTTATTACTTTTTTTATATTGTCTATCTTAAAATATTATAATCTACTTAATAAATAGTTCACTAATGGTATAAAAATATAAATAGCAACATAATTTGGTTTGGTCTAGGTTATCCAGATTCATTCAAATTAAAGAAACTATAAATAAACCTGTGAATAATAATTTATAACGTCTTGGATACTTGGACCGATAAAACACCGCGTTCCGATCTAGCATGTTATCGGATCGTTAAAAACCGGATGCCGGAGTAGTGGAGAAGCACGTAAGTACTGTTGTGAGTTTCTAAATCGGATCGGTAATTAACGTTTGCCGGACCGGAGCAGTGGAGAAACGGCCTAATACTTATTAAAATTCGAAAAAATCTACACCCTGTATCTTTTCCATAATATCCACTAGATTGGTACTGATGAGTTCTTGCGTTAGAGATGCTATTTATAGTTGTTTATTGAGTGCATTGAAGATAATATTGTTATACAGTCATTATTTCGAGTTAATTGCGCACTTAAATCATTGTATGGGTGAGAATACACGAGCTACGTGATTAGGCACGCTTGGCTTGGGTTTAAAATTCAAGACTTACTGCGCCTCAAGGCCGTCGTCTGCCAATTGTCAGATTGGGGAGTCGAAATAGGTGCAAAGTACAATCGTAAAAATAATTTCATAAATTCAATCATTACAAGGGTTTCTTCGATTCGCTGTACACCCATACGAATAACGTCCGAAAATATATTTAATAATTATTAATTATTGATAAATTAAAAACAAAGACGCTTTTTAAAGTTCACTCTTTCGTCTGTTTCAAATCGTGTTTAAAAATAAAAATAAATCAGTAGCGCTACAATCACTCATTTGTCAATCTAATAGGCAAGTAGGTGATCAGCCTCCTGTGCCCGACACACGCCATTGACTTGTTGGGTCTAAGGCAAGCCGGTTTTCCCACGATGCTTTTCTTCATCGTATTAGCGAGTGTTAGATGCGCACCTAGAAAGAAAGTACTGTACAGCCAGGGTTCGAACCTACGATTTGCGTGTTGTTACCACGTGAAAGTCCGTGCTCCTATTGCACCATGCCTCATGCTGATAGAGGACAAATCTATGTTTTTATTTATTTTACAATTATTTATTACTTAAGATGTCATGTGGAACATTGTGTAATGGTTGCAGCTCCTTACAAACGCTGTGTAAAAAAAAACTTGGCGATTAAAAAGAGCGGCGGAGAGTTTGTTGCCAGTTCTTTTCTTCCGTTCTACGCCCTTGATTTGAGAACTGATAGTGAATGTAAAATTAGAAGCATTTCATTTATGTATTTTTTTTTAGTTCATACAGGAACTTTTTTTGAGCCTGACACGCTTCGAATCGCAACCTGTCTACGGCTTGGGGTTCCGGTTTGCGCTCCTCATATATGTCCCTGTGGCAGTGATGTCGACAAGTTAGGACATCACGGCCTGTCATGCCAAAAAAGTGCAGGCCGCTTCTCGAGACATGCCGCACTTAACGATATCATACGCCGTTCCCTTGCCACCGTCAACGTGCCAAGTCTACTTGAGCCGAGTGGTATTGCAAGAGACGATGGCAAGAGACCGGACGGTATGAGTTTGATTCCATGGAAGATGGGTCGGGTACTGGTATGGGATGCAACCTGTTCAGACACGCTGGCCCCTTCCCATCTACATGGAACCAACTACAGAGCTGGTGCGGCTTGTGAAGCGGCTGAAAAAAATAAAGCATGCAAGTACAGGGGTCTAGGCTCAGAATATGATTTTGTCCCATTCGGTGTGGAGACCCTTGGTCCGTGGGGTCCTAGCGCTTTAAGGCTTTTTAAAGAAATTTCAAAAAGGTTAGTCGACATCACAGGAGACCGAAGATCTGGCAGCTACCTCGGGCAAAGAATTAGTCTAGCAATTCAAAGGGGGAACGCTGCCAGTATCTTCGGAACCTTGCCTAAAGGGACTCCTTTTAATGATATATTTTATTATTATATAAGTGATATTACACTCATAACTGGTAAAGGTTATTATCTTTCATAAGTGTATATAAATATATACCTATATCAATAAATGATTTTAAATTTTGAATCTCAAGAAAGCCACTAGGCCAGCACTGCGGTCAATACAACTGTTTCATGGTGCTTATTTATCTTTTAAGGGAGTAAATGTTACATCATACCGTGATAACAGGTAAAACCCGCACCGTTAAAACATTATTTAATAATAGTGTAGAAATGGGAATTTATTTCAAGTTCTCATTATAAGACGTAATAATGAGGAAAATGAGTTATAATTGATAAGAGGAGGCTGCAAGGTGAAGTTAAGGCCACGAGAATTCCAACGATTGCTACCATATTTGATTGGCTTTCTACAATATTAATTATATCTAATATATAAAATTCTCGAGTAACAAAGTTCGTTCCCATACTCCTCCGAAACGGCTCGACCGATTCTTATGTAATTCTGAGAATCGGCTACTATCTTTCAAACCCCTAAGTGATAAGGGGTGTTAACCCCAAATTTTTGTTGTTTATTTTTTAGAATTTTTTTTTGTTTTTATTTTTTTATGATACAGCATACAACCCTTAATTTTCACCGCTCTACGATCGACCCCTATTTTTTTATTATAGTAGATAGTTACTTTTATTGAAATAAAAATAACTATTATTAAAATTAATACAAATAATAAATTTCGTCGGTAATAAAAACACGTAGCATTTTAATTTACGATTCGTCATTTGAGATTTCCATAAATTATTTTGCACAAAATATAAAATACTAATATTTCATAAATTCTCTTTACGAAATTTTAATGTTATGATAGAATTTCTATAAGGTAATTCGCCCTTCTCACTCTCTCTCAATCGGTCTCAATCGCTCTCTCCCTTTTCTTCGACAAAAACGCTGCACATCTTTGTGACGTTCCGTAAAAATTTTACCCTCATGCGCCTAAAGAAGTTTCACTTCAAAAATATTAAAAAATGTTTAAATAACTGTCTCCAATCCTCTCCTCTCTGGCTTATCATTTATTATTATTATTATTTATTTATTTATTTGTTCAGATAAAATAATCCATCATTATGTTAGTATAAACTTACGGACTAGTGTTAGTATATTATTATTAAAAAGCTAAACAAAAAAACATAAAAACCCATGAAACATTCTATGCATACACTCGTCGATCTGAACCGACAAGTGTACGCACAAAATGCTTCATGATAGGCGAAGACAGGTGGTCTTCCACAGTCTTCAAGATGCTGTTCCTACAGCCTCGTACCCGGCTTTAACAGAGATATTGTTTTAATTCTAATGATAGCCCAGAAGTCATTTGTACGGGCTTGGGCGAACATCTCCGAAGCACTGCAGAATCGAGGCAATCCCAAGAGCATCCTAAACGCATTATTGTATTTAAACAAATCAAACTCACTACACGCAATACTCGTCGAGCGAGTTTGCTTCTTTAGCCGAAGCCGCGTACAAATTATATGAAGAGGTCGATAAAGTATGAGGGTGTGCAATTATTTAATAAATTACCGTCTAAAATTCGTTATATTAGCGTGTTTAACCAATTTAGCATTGGGAGACAAAAATTTGGGCATATAAGATAGCGACGTACATCTCGTTCATATATATATAATAATAGCATCGTTAAATAAAAAATTGTTATTAATTAACCTTATCGATGATTCTAGGAATTGGTTTTGGCATTTTCCTGTTATGATAGTTAGTCGATGTTGAAAACACGTTTAATAACCACAAATTTACCACTAACATACCGCGACAATTAAAACGCTATTACCGATTCATAAATGAATCAAAATAACTTTAATATTTTTTATTCAATCAGCCATTATTGTTTCACCAATCAATATTTTTATACACAATTAGCACTTGCTCGTACGGGGAAACCTCGTAAGGAAACTGTTTAAGTCTTAGATTTAGAAATATAAAAATGAAATATCAGGAATATTATTTAAAAGCACAGAAATGTGTCTGCAATTCGTTGAATGATATGATACATTAAATGTTACATTCCGAAACGAGACTTGGCGCGAACTATGAGATCCGTAAGTCAAAGTTAAGTATTCTAATTTCAATACATTTTTGAATCTCACTATAAGAATATGGATAAACAAATGAGATCAAATGATATACTACAATTAATGCCAATAATAATAATTGTTTTACAATAAGAAGGCCTGTGCCTAATGTACTACCAAAATATTATTTTGACAATTCAACAAACAAAACTTTGATAGTTAAGTTTGATGAAAACAGAACCAAGAATAACGTCAATAATAAAACAATAAACTAACTTACCAAATATTAAACAACACAAATAAATCCAAAACATTGTGTACTATCCTAAAACACTAATTAATTTCAAACATTGACTAGTTATCTAAGCAATAAGCATTATAATGTCAAGAAACGAGATCTCTGCTTGGAAAAACCGAGCGTACTATACAGTGATACCAGTTGCAATAATTTTATCTTGACCATATTGATATTTAAATGTCTTTCATATTTTTTTATAAAACTTTATATGTACTTCAAATTCTGAATAATTTATTTTTATCTTTATTATTGATAAAATCTTAAATGTATATCAACAATTATTGAACTGATTTCGATGAATTTTTAAAGTGGGTAAATAGCTAGTCTTTCGTTAGTGTATAAATGTATAATAGTAGGGAATAATTCTTTTTTTTACTAAGTTACAGTCTCACGACGATTCAACGTGTGAATGAAGATTTAAAATTGATTCAAAAGTTTTAAAGTTTTAATATATTTATTAAAGTTTTTATGTAGTATTTATGTAGTTAATGCATTTTTAATATATAAATGAAGCTCATGCATTTTAAAAACTAACTTTTTACAATGTTCGGTTCGTTGTAAGTAAGGTAGTTAAGTTGTGTACATCATGTTATCAAATTATTAGAAAATAAGCTATATAATATATATAAAAATTTAGTATAAATTAATATTGATTCGATGAGTAAATTTTAAAAACTTATAGATGTATTTTACAAATTCAATAGTTTCACTAGTTTTTTTGGTATCTATAAATTTTAATTCATTAAGTATAAAAACTATCCATATAAACCCGAAACTATTGAGTATCAGTGTTATGACAAGGAAAAATTTATAAATTGGTAACACCAATGGTAATGACCTAAGTACAGGTTGCGTTGAGATTATGTTGATGAAACAGTCATTATAAATGTTTGGGCAACGGGTCTTTTCTGATGCGTATTAAACGACGTCACGACGGAACGCAAGTTAACCAAGTTTGAGGTCAATTCCACAGATTAATATAAAAGTCAGCGCTCATAAATTTCAATGATTATCTATACTAATATACCATACTCCTCCGAAACAGCTTAACCGATTTTTATCAAATTTTATATGCATATTCAGTAGGTCTGAGAATCGGCTACTATCTATTTTTCATACCCCTAAGTAATAAGAGTTGTCCACCCTAACATTTGATTTATATTTTTTGGACGAAATTTTTGCATGTTTTTTTTAATGTGCCATTAAAAAATACATGCAACACTAAATTTTCACCCCTCTACGATCAACCCCTACTTTTATTGAACTAAAAAAATGTTTCCTAGAAATAATAAACATGGCAAAACGACGTTAGCCGGGTCAGCTAGTATTTAATATATATTTTTAGTCCCCTAACTAGGAGCTTGAGACCAAATCACTTTTCGCAAGGCGTAACTCATTATTATTATTATCAGTGGCGCTACAACCTCTTTAGGTCTTGGCCTCAGATTTCTGAATCTGTTTCATGATCATTTTTAAATCTAATAGGCAAGTAGGTGATCAGCCTCCAGTGCCTCAACACGCCGTCGACTTTTTCGGTCTTAAGACATGTCGGTTTCCTCACGATGTTTTCCTTCACCGTTCGAGTAAATGTTAAATGCGCACATAGAAATAAAGTCCATTGGTGCAGAACCGGGGATCAAACCAACGACCTCAGGTATGAGAGTCGCACGCTGAAGCCACTATGCCAACACTGCTCTCCAGGCGGAACTCACTAACGCAAAATTTTAAAATATTGCTAATAGAAATAATACAGGCGTTTTATAAACAAATTATTTAGACAGGCGTTAGGTCTCTCTCCTGAGACGTGGTTTTGCGCTTTGACACTAAGTTATTATTAAATATAAGAAAAGAGGCATAAACCTGTATAGATTGCAAAAGAGTTCAGTCGTGTTGGAACTACACGAGGTGGTTTTAGTAGATCCGCTACTTAGAGCGGATTCCTGTAGATTATCACATACCCCTTTGGTGCGAGGGATGGATTTCCACCTTTGCGCGTAATGGTGGACGATAGACGAAGTACCATAGTCGTAGTGAGTAGTAATAACTTATTTACTGAATGAACAGAACAATATTCTAAATAATAGTAATGTAAGTATAATTTTGCGAACGACTCGTCATGGATAGGTCTAAATATGTATTTTAAATCTCATGTGTAATGCGAGTGAGCGAATGAGAAAAAAGACTGAGTGATCTTCAATATATTTGTTGCGTCATTGTTTACATAGAGTTAAGCAGACAAAATTGCGTAGCTCTATGCTCTACGGTCAGTTGGAAATACACCACCGCTCAATGAATACGCATTTCATTTGCCGCCATTCTGACACACTATAAGATAAACACCATTATGTAACGGCAAATTCACAGTCGATTTACTGAAGTATACAACAGGATAAACGACATAAAATCAAGAGCGGCAAAGATTAGAAAAATTACATCATCTTCAATAATCTGTCAACATTATTAACGTAACTAAAAATGCGCGGCAAAGAGACTGGGTTTTCGAGAAATTTGTGGACACATTTTGAGTTATGATTTTATTACGGACTGTTGGACTTTAGCGCTGATAACGTAATCTCATTTTATATAAACGTAACGTCATAATTATTAGAAACATTAAAGCGGGTTTGTGTTGTAATTCTAAAATGTGTTAATATGAAGAATTTGTTGTGTCATTTAAAACCGTAAGTTTTTAATTGTATTTATGACGGATATTCTCCTATAATAACTAACAATTATTTCTTGAATATAAATTATACTAACAGACTGGTTTCAGTTTACGTTGCTATTTATGAATTATCAAAAACAACATAAGCGTTGGAATAGCGGGTTGAGCTTCCGACTCTCAATCCTGATGACGTTGCGTTCGATCACGGCTTTGCCCCAATGGATTTTATTTCTAAATGCGCATTTACACTCGCTTTAACGGTGAAGGAAAAGATCGTGAGGAAACCGGCATGCTTAAAACCAAGTTACATCGTGTGCAAAAGGCTGATCACCTACTTGCCTATTAGACAAATGATCACGAAACAAATGCAGATATCTGAGGCCAAGACCTAAAAGCGTGGAAAATAAAAATGTCTACGCCCAGACCTGGCAGTATATGAATAAACAATAATTTGATTTTATTATATTTGTCGTACGGTAAAAGAAAAAGTCGAACTAATATCGAAAGTGTGTCAGGCAGCTTCTTGCCTATTGAAATTTTAAGAAGGAAGCCAGTTTGTACCTATTATGACAATTTATAGGATTTGTACCTAACTATTCAATTTCCGCACTGAGATGCCCATTTAGTCCGTTGTGCATAAGTCCTGGGTAAGTAGGTATCTTCTTCGAAAAGCTCAGAAGACTCCTGGGCACTTCGCAGGACGAAGCGACCTCACTGTTTCTTTTTTACTTACTTACTACGTTACTTCACACGAGGGTTTCTGTTCGTTGGGAAGCCATATTTGTACCGTTATTAAAATAGCTTTAGATAATGTAAGTTTTTCTATCAACTACGTACTTTATTTTACAGAGCCATGAGTACACTAGCGAATACAGAAAAAAACATCACGATTAAAGCTCAATGGGGCAAAATAGCTGGTGAGTAGATTTTTATATAATTCATTGAATAATTTATTTAAATAAAACGTCTTGATAGTCTAGTCTAGTATTATATGCGTTATATATTGAAATATTGAGAACTTTAAATACAGATTCTCAGACAGTAGTTATATAGCTACACAAAAATACAGTATTTACAATATTCTTAACCTACATAGCATTAATAACAATAAAAAAATAAAAAGAGAATTATAAGAATTTAAAAAGTTTGGTCCTTGTGTGTACCTTTAATGCTGACATTTTCACGCTGTATTGCACTATTTATTCGTGGAGCTATGAAACCATCAGCTATGGGTTACCGGTGCTATCTACCAGGCGCCAACTTAAATCTTTAATTAGCTGTGCACTTGAACCCCACGGCGCAAGAGACTCCACTTAGGGATGTGAAAAAATTATCGATTATTAAAAAATCTATTTTTTTACGCGATTTTTATATTTAAAATAATCGATTATTTTTATAAATGAAAATCAATCATAGTCGATTTTTCATCTGCCACCTCCCGACATTATGTCTGGTCATTTATAACCCATACCTCGAACTATTAGGGATATTCGATATACATTGATGTTTACAATGCGATACATTGAACCCGATTCTTTGAAGATGTATTGATATACTCGATGCTAATTTTACAAAAACTCAAGTTTGAATGGAACACTATAATTTAAAAGTAAAATAAATTTATTCAGCAGCACAAGATTACATACAATTAAAAAGACAACAAAAATACTGAAAAGTGCTACTCAGCATTTATCAAATTTCACCTAAAATCTATCAAAACGAGATTAAGTTAATTTCGATTTTGATTATTCTTAAACGTTAATTTGTGTTTATAATTTCTATTGTTTATTTTTAATTTAAAAAACCATGAAAAATAAAATATTTAGGGTGTTTATTTTGAAATTAAATCAATTTGTCTGACAATGATGTGTACCATCTGTCATAAACGTCATCAACTCATCGGTAGGGATGTGACATTATGCATAAAAAATCGATTTTTTAATTCCTTAACTCCACTCCAAAGGGAATAAATCGAAGTCACTAACAATCTAAAACAACATCTCAACCTGTCCTTTGCTCAAAAAGTATTCTTCTAGTGCAACAGTAGTTTAATAATAAAATTGTAAGTTGTATGTTATTACTTATTATTACGACAAGTACTGTTAATATATGTATGACAAAACATTCTCAGGCGTGTGCCTGACACGTGTGGGTATGTGTCAGACACCCACCTAACACCCACTCACACGTACATACCCTCTCCCTCTATCACACACACCTTTATTTCTAACTAGTTGACTGATTTGTTTTGTTTTTCTTTCCATCCTTAAAAAGTTAAATTTGTTTGCCTATCCATATATGTATGTACTTTGTGTTACCTCTCAGTATGACTTTGCTGTGGAATGGAAGCCTGGTTATCCATATAACAGGTTCTTAGCTAGTTTGGAAACCAGTCTCCGAATACCTTCTCAACTGTAATCTTATTGTGTTTGTTGCAAATGTTGTATGGGAGATAACAAATTATTATTATTATTTTTTTATGATTGGACAATTCACACCAATTGACCTAGTCCCATGCTAAGCTGGTGAAGCTTATGTTATGGGTACTAGGCAACGGATATACTTAGATATTATAGATAGATAGACATATAAATACATATTTAAACACCCAAGACCTAAGCATAACACCAAATGCTCATCACATCGATGTTTGTCTCAGCCGGGGATCGAACCCGGGACCCATGGATTCGCAGTCAGGGGTACTATCCACTAGACCAATGAGCCGTCAATTATTATCATCCTTTTTTATTGTGTGCAATAAAGTTTTTTCTTTCGTGCTGAAGTATCTCTATATGTTTTCCTAATATAGACAAAAAAATTGTAAGTCAGAATAAAAATTAATCATCCTATTTTGCACATGAAGTAATATTTTTCCCGTTTTACAGCCATAACTTGGGGTAATTCGTCAAATCCACCCGTGCTTCTATGCCCTGGAAGAATGGTCCCTTGCTCCAGCTTCCGACCGCTAATCAAAAAAATGCCTGACTGCTTCTTCTACGTAGCTATCGACCTGCCTGGCAGCGGCTTGTCAGACCATCTACCACCAGGCATCCGGTACACTGTGTTCGATTTAGTGCCATCAATTGTGAAGGTGGTGGAACACTTCAAATGGGAGAAGATTATGTTTATAGGACACTCTTTGGGGACTGTTCTTGGTGAGTTTTATTTGGGCTCAGTCAATGGCCGTTCAAGTCTTACGTAAGCACTATGGGGAGGGGTTTGATTTTCTTATTTGGTGATTACTTCAACAGTTATTATTTTCTTCTTACACATCATACCCACACATTGTCTATGCTTGAAAACAAAATGCATTTACGAGGATTTCTACAAAAATACGTTTAAGGCCCTTTTTTTTAGAGCTTTGCTAACAAGAGGGGCAAGGGGCGGAATAAATTGCAGAAAATCTGCTTACGTAATATTTGAATGGCCCCCATGATAAAGCAGACCTAGCCGCCACACTCCTTTTTTCTTTTTTTTTACTAAGACAATACTTTTTTACTTCTACAATAGTTGTATTCGATGTTGCCTCTGACGGTTTTAATGAGACATTCGGTGGACAGTCATGTTGTCAGGAGATTCGCGGACACGTTGACGGCCTTTTACCGCATTTTTTATATAAAACGGGGCAAACGGGCAGGAGGCTCACTTGATGATAAATGATACCGCCGCCCATGGACACTCGGCCTTTTAAGAGTTAGTACGCTCTTTTCTTGAAGGACCTTAAGTCAAATTGATTCGGAAATACTTCAGCTGGTTCCACATAGCAGTGGTGCACGGAAAAAGCCCGAGAAATACCTGCACGGTCAGTGTAAAGAGTACCCCGCAAAGCCATCTATTAGAAGCACTCTGAATAAAATTGGTCCCGAAATACTTCGATAGAAAGCTGACACAATAAAAAGTGCCTCCAAAATCTTTAATAAATTTTCAGGAACATACTTTAACATGGCGTATCCGAACCGTGTAACCCGTTTCGTCCAACTAGACCCCATACCCCTGTACCACACGGTGATCCCGGAGACCTTCGAGGCCTGGTACCAGGAATACTATCGCAGCAATTATGATGATGATCAGTACGTAAAGCATACCAGTGGCCGGCATACAGCACCCCGATATAGCTTGGATGATGTAAGTCAGATAAAAATTATGTAACAAATGAATAATTAGATTATATCTGTAGCCACACCTACAAACTCCAATTCGCCAACATCGTCCAATTCGTAAAGTGCAACAGGCTCAAGTGGCTGGGACATGTGCACCGAACGACAGAACTCCAAGGTCCTTACTGAACTCACAAGAGAGTGGCAAGTGGCAGGTGGCAAGAGAAAACCCGGTAGACCGAGGCTGCGTTGGTGGGATGGACTTGTCAAGGACCTCGAAACAATAGTGGTTCGCAATTGGACTCGGGAAGCACTGAATAGATTGAGATGACGAAGTGTAATTAAGGAGGCTAAGGCCGAAAAGGGGCTGATGATTAATGATGATGAACCTACAATCACTGCGATGATGTCATACCCTAAAACGCGCTAACGACTTATTTTCAACTCAGCACAAATACCTTCAACTTTACGACAGCCACGAGGACCTTCGGGCCAGTCAGCCGTTAGGGAGCGTTCAAGTATTACGTCACGCAATTTTTGGAGATTACTTTTGCCGATTGCCCCCCCATGTAACGCGCCGTAACGTTTTTCTGTAGCCAATAGTAAAACGTTTCGTGACCACCAAAGTGACTCTTTATACCTAAAAGTTACCATTATGTGCGGTAAAATACCGGAAAGTCGAAAATAATATGTAATTCGATCCCCGCCCCGCATCGTAACGTTTTACAAAAGGACCCCCTCCCCCAAAATTCGTTATGTAATACTTGAACGCTTCCTTACACAAGTCGAGGTATCCTCCCCTTAGGTAGAAGGAACACCACACTTACTCTACACACGCCGAGAAGTTTAACCCTTCTGCAAAGATCATTGTTTTTGAATAATATCGGTAAATATTTTCAGATAAAAAGGCGACTGATGACAGCCCATAAAATTAACGAGGAAACCTTGGAGCATGTTTTAGACAGATATATCGAACCAGCCGGAGATGGCTTGTATAGGTAAGCATTGCACATGATGGTTCAATTAAGGGTGCAACTTGGCAGGAGGCTCATCTGCCTTGCGATTCTGTAACTCACTTTTCGAACTCACACAGCGGTTTTCGCATCGGCATGATAAGGTGGGAGCTTGTAGTTTATTGTGTATCAGAATGCCAAATCATAAAATGACTGCTTCACGACTGATTAGAGCGCGACCGCCGCTGTGAAAACAGCTGTGTGAGTTTGAAAAGTGAGTTACAGAATCACAAGGCTGATGTTAATGTGATATCACCACTCATGATAGGACTCACATGTCCACAAGGCTTGTTTTATTTTTATTTTATCGATGTTGTCTTTCCCCGTACGAGCGAGTGTTAAATGCGGAGAAAACAATAAAGTCAATTGCAGCACAGGAATTTGTAGGTTCAAAGTTTAAAAAATATATATATCAATGGCGCTACAACTATTTTAGGTCTGGGCCTCAGATTTCTGTATGTGTTTCATGAATATTTGTCAATCTAATAGGCAAGTAGGTGATCAGTCTCCTGTGCCTGACACACGCCGTCGACTTTTTGAGTCTAACGCTGGCCATAGACGGACGAAAGCAGCCGATACCGACTGCTTTAAGCGGTCACCGCACGGCGATCTGCAGTTTCCATACTAAATTCATGTCCGCAATACACGGACTGCTCGAGCAGTTCCTAAGCGGTCGGAGCAGTCGCTCTGCGGTCGAGATTCGCCGTGCGGTCGACTGCTTAGAGCTGCCGGACCCATACACGGACCACTACAAGCGGTTGCCGTCGACCGCGCGCCACTCCCTCAAATAAAATAAAATACTACCTAATTCATCAAATGAAACCACGGACATTCTAAAGTAGTTGACAAACTTTTTAGTGTCTTCTCTCAGTTGGTGATACAAAGTATGAAATATTCCATGCTGTTCTCTTGAATGTAGTATTGGACGCACCCACATACTACGGTGTCTTCTACACATATGCTTGCGTAATAGTCGTACAAAAAGCAGTGTTTCTTCATCGAAATCCATCTTGTAAATGAACTCGCATTAGTATTATTTTGCGGTCGAACACAACTGCTCCAAGCAGTCGTAGTCGACTGCATTATGCGGTCGTGTTGAAGGCGTACACGACTCTACAGCTCTACAGCAGCCGGTCTTGACTGCAACATGCGGTCCGTCTATGGCCAGCTTAAGGCATGCGGTTTCCTCACGATGTTTTCCTTCACCGTTCGAGAGCACGAGATATTCGCACGTTGAACTAGGCCGACACAACTCAATTATTGGAGTAATAATTATTTTCAGGTTCACCTACGACCAACGCATGAAGAACACCACCACGATGCCCTTCTCACCGGACAACTTAAAATTAATCTTGACATCAGCGAAAATTCCCATCCTCGCAATTTTCGCCAAATTTGTCATAGAAGCGGGAGCATATTCTAAAGTACCCTTCGCATTTGACACAAAAGCGTGGCCACATAATAATTACGGGTACAAAATAGTGTCCGGATATCACGACGTGCATATGAGTAGCCCCGAGTTAATGGCGGATGATATAGCTAAGTTTTTATTACAATCAAAAGCTAAGTTGTAATTAGTTAGTTGGAGGTTATTGGTAGCCCAGCCCAACTGGGGCTCTTTGAGGGCATGGGCCAAGATCGGGCTGTGAAGGAAGGTTACCTGAGCCGGCCTGGTGTTTGGGGACCAGTAGGTCGGTCCAGGTACCGCTGGATCGACAGTGTAGCCAGCATATGGTGGGAGGTAGAACAAGATAGGGAGCGCTGGAAGGTTCTCATTTCTGAGGCACTGTGTGAGTGGAGGTTTTTGGTTCGATGAGGAGTGATAATTCATTGGGTTTTTTAATCTATAGCTATTATTTATAAAAAAAAATCAGTCAATCTCTTTTCATCGCAGCACAACTAGACAGAAAGATATGAAAGAGTACTTTACTGCAGTGCAGGATCACATATTATATGGCATTTTAGAATAGATAAATCATTTTTTTATAATTAAATTGTTGTCTCATTTCAACTCAAAATGTCATCAGCATCACCTTGACGGCTGCAAGGCTTCCACAGTCCACTTCACAAGACACTTCCTTTTGCTAACTAGCGAACTGTGGACTCGACTCCCGCGCGGTGGGGGATAACCAATAAATTTTTATTTTTTTTATAGAACGGGGGGCAAACGGGCAGGAGGCTCACCTGATGTTAAGTGATACCGCCGCCCATGGACACTCTCAATGCCAGAGGGCTCGCAAGTGCGTTGCCGGCCTTTTAAGAATTGTTACGCTCTTTTCTTGAAGGAAGTCGAATTTGTTCGGGAATACTTCAATGGGCAGCTGGTTCCACATAGTGGTGGTGCGCGGCAAAAACTGCCTTGAAAAACGCTCAGTTGTGGAACGGCGGACGTCGAGGTGATACGGGTGGAATTTCGTATTCTGCCTCGACGTCCGATGATGAAACTCAGCTGCAGGTATTAATCCGAACAACTCAGATGAGATGATGAAGATGCAGAGTGACCCCACATCTCTACGCAACGCCAAAGGATCAAGCCGCTCGGAGAGGGATAGGTCGTCGACGATTCGAACCGCTCTGCGTTGTATACGGTCAAGTGGAAGGAGCTGGTATTGGGGAGCCCCGCCCAGAGGTGAGAGCAGTACTCCATGTGGGGCCGAATTTGCGCTTTATATAGTTGCATGCGGTGGCCCGGAGTGAAGTACCGTCTCGCCTTACTGAGCACACCAAGCTTTTTGGAGGCTAATTTAGCCTTTCCCTCCAAGTGACCGCGAAACTGAACGTCGCTCGATATGTCAACGCCAAGTATTCCAATGCTGGCTGTGGCTTTAAGAAGAGTGTTTTCGAAAAGAGGAGTAGCGACAAATGGTGTTTTTTAGCGGAAAACGCGCAAACTTGTGACTTCTTGGGGTTAAATAAGACTAGGTTTTGTCTGCCCCAATCTGAGACTCCACGTAGTAGAGTTTCGACTCCAGACACAAGTTTGTTCCGGTACACATCAACAACTACCCGAGAAATACCTGCCCGGCCAGTGTAAAAAGTATCCCCAGTGCTGTCATCCGCATAGCAATGAATGTTGCTAAGTTTCAACATATCATTGATATGCAGAAGAAATAGGGTCGGGGATAGAACACAGCCTTGTGGAACCCCAGCGTTTACGGGTTTTAGGTCGGAACATGCTCCGTCGATGACGACCTTGATGCTCCGATCGGCCAGAAAGCTGGACATCCAATCGCGTAATTTCTCGGGAATCCCATAGGCTGGAAGCTTCGAGAGCAGTGCTCTGTGCCACACCCGATCGAAGGCTTTTGCTATGTCCAAACTAACCGCTAGCGCCTCCCCCTTGGACTCAATTGCCTCTGCCCATCTATGTGTAAGGTAAACAAGAAGGTCACCAGCCGAACGACCACGACAAAAGCCGTACTGATAATCGCTAATCAGCTGGTGGCCCTCTAGATACCTAAAGAGCTGGCAATTAACAATGGATTCCATTATTTTGGAGAACAAGGAGGTTATAGCTATTGGGCGATAGTTGGACGGATCTACAATATTAGTGTAATAAATTGTTTAACGTCGAAAGAATAAAAAAGTGCAGCTGAACAAGCAGTGCGGCGCGTCATTGAACAAAGGTGTTGGGCTTACTGGATACTGTCTCCGACACAATCGACATCTTTATATGTTCGCAGAGTGAATTCACAGTAGCGATATTGTGTATCTTATGTATTTAATATTATATATTATATTTTTAATTTCGGCATAATCGTATTAGCTTAGTACTGTAAAAATAATGTAAGTATTTTTTTTAAATAAATACTTATGATTTTTTTTTAGAAAATGTACACGTGTGAAAATGGCATGAGAATTTAAGAAGGGTCCAGCCTTGCGATTCTGTAACTTACTTTTCATAACATTGTGAGGAAATCGGCTTGCCTTAGACCCGATAAGTCGGCGTGTCAGGTACAGGAGGCTGATCACCTAGTTGCCTATCAGATTTACAAATTATCTTGAAACAGACCACTGAATTATTTTAATAGAAAATCTATCAAAATTCATTTATTCATTTAGGAAACACAATATACACTTATGAACGTCATTAAGAAATACATAAATGTATACTAAATGCTTCTAATTTAACATTTACTGTCAGTTCTCAAATCAAGGGCGTAGAACGGAAGAAAAGAACTGGCAATAAACTCGATATATCAATAATCATATCTGTAAGAATATTACTATTTATTTACAATAAGAATTTTCATATTTCCATAATTATTTTTCCAAGGATCCTTCACTTTTGTATATAAGCTACTACTTTTCTCTACGAAGAATGATGTCTTTATTGAAGCCGCAACAAATGAAACAAAATTTTCTAAAACATCTTTATTACCACAAACCCCGTAATGTAAATATACTGAATTAATACAATATTTTTAATGTCTTTATTTTATTAACAATTACGAAAATTAAATTATTTACTAGGTATAAATGTGTTTTAATACAATACGGAGAGGCATTTTTTAAATAATTAAAAAATTAATACTACTATATCTAATTATATAATTTATTTCACCGAACTCGCATATTATTTATATTATACTATTTATTGTACAAAAAGTTTTCACTTTCTTAATACAAATTTTCCCATTTTCTGTACCTTATGTACTGCCCCCTGCCCCCCAGTTAATCGTCTGACGTCACACTTTTCAATATATTTATATTGAAATATACTGGTTATAACCAGTTAAATGACACAGACACAGATTGTCGCAAGTTGATAGCTATAACAATTTTGATTAATAATTGATATTAGCGCCATCTATTGCCGCGAAATTTATATTTTATTTTTCCTCTCAAACATCACACATGTTTATCTTTTCTATAACACATAATCATAAATATCTGATCGTAATATATAAGTTTCAAAAATAGTGAGGTAGTCTGATGACGTATTTAGCTAAACGCAATAAACAAACTATACTCTGATTTTTAGTTCCGTAGAATTCTGACATTTCATAAGTGTTGCTACTAAAAAAGTTCTCCACAGAAAAAGGGGCAAATTTCACTTATTTGTGGGCAATACAAAAAAATGCTACGTATTTTTTATGTTTTACCTACAAAAAGGTAAATCTAAATATTTACTTACTCAAGTGACCTAATACAAAAATCACAAATATTTCAATATCACGAATATATCGAATGAACTTTATTTTATTATTTAGCTGTCATCACTGCCTACTAATTCCAGGTTTTGTAAACCTTTTAAATGAAATAAAATGCTCTTTACTAATCTTTACTTGTCCGTTTTTTACTGTTTGTCATGAAAAGGGACGTAACCACTTTTAATGTGGAGCACTGCACTTAATAAAATGAATACATTAACTAACAATAAAATGTATGTATAGACTCAGATGTTCAGACTCGTATGGAAATTGATAAATGTGCCCGGCCAAAAAGGTTTGCCATCTCTGACATGTCAAAAAAAGGTAGCTGTCAGAATTACACAAAATTAAAAATCTGAGTATATGTTCGTAACTTATTACATTTTTACATAAAAATCTATAATTTCGAAATAACAAAATCATTATCTAAAAACATCAACAATTCGTTTATAAACCTCTCTGGATTCGTCAAATGGACATCATGGCCGCCTTCTACCCAAATGACATTGACATTCTTATTCTCTTCTGACATATGGGACATAAGTTTGACAGATAAGTTTGACTGCTGGTAGTACAAATCTGTCATGACGCTAGCACAAATAAATAATGACGGCGTCCGATGTTGGGAAAATAAATCTATATAAAATTGTTGTGGAAGCGAATTAAATCCGGGGGTGATTTTGTAACGCCTATCCCAGGATAATCTGAAAAAAAAAGTTAATATTGAAGAGTGTATTAAAATTGCTCTCGTAAAAGGATGTCCACATAGATGCCCATGGGCGGCGGTAAACACTTATGTTAACTTTAAATGACTCGCCTCCTCGATTGCCTCCTGCCTTCTTAAAAAAACCATTGTCATGTTTTAACTGTCATCTGTCAAAAAATAAAATGTAATTTGAAATCGTACACCAGTTTGACACTTTTATAATACATTGCATATTGAGGACAGTTAAAATATAATTTATTCATAACATGTAACGTAATATACACTTCAGTGATGCCAACTACAAAATACAAATTTAGGGAGAATCAAGATGTCTTGGGGGATGTTAGGGGCGGGGGGTTATAGAAGGAATTAATTATTTTTTTCGTAAAAAACGCACGATCCAATACAATTAATATTTAGTCACTTTAAGATTAGACTTATTTCACTTTAAAAATCATAAAATTATCATATTCATTAAAACGATATGCATATTAAGCATATATTTTATCGCGGGATTTTAGCGCGGCGACCGAATCAAGAAATTTCGTAACGAAAGTAATCCTAGCACACGATGACGTAATATAGGTGTACGCGTTAGAGCGGGACAGAACGTATACTGCGTATTCACATCTCTCTGACGAGATCGGTGACGTAGCGTAAGCGCGGCCGGTGCAGCCGGTACGCGTTAGAGTGAGACAGACTACATAGGCGTGTCAGTCTAACACATTCAATGAGTCTGGTAGAGTGGTACATTTAATTAATATCAAAGAAAAAAAATACTGCATAAATAAATAATTATAATTGCATAAGTTGATAAAAAATTCTATGTAATAGCTTTACATAGTAATTTTTATCACACAAGACAACAAGGGGATTCTAATAAAAATAAATAATGCCAGAGATTTGTGCTCACCTATACAAATTGGGCCCCGTTTGCACCAGGCACCTTGACAGAACTATCTCCGCTTCCTCCTCATTAATAGCCCTCGCATTCAGAACGGACCTCATCGCCTGCTCTTTCGTGTATTCCCTCTCACTATCGTATTTATGGTAATTATCATAAAAATTCTGATATGACTTGAAAAATTGTTTATAATTTACCGCATTGCAATATTCGAGCGACGGTCCCGGGTCTAAATAGACCGCTTTTTTCACTCGTTTTGGGTAAATCGAAGCGTAGAACATTCCTGAAAAAAATAAAATACATTTTACGCCATTAACGTAGGTAAATCTTAAATTTTAGTTCAGTATAATGAATTACATACAAAGAACAAAAGTCAAAATCATTTATTCATATAGGTAACACATTATGAACTTCAAAAATATATTAGGGAACTTCAAGTATTACGTCACGCAATTTTTATAGATTATTGTAACCCCCACGTAACGCGCTGTAACGTTTTTCTGTACCCAAGTATAGTAAAACGTTTCGAGACCACCCAGTGACTCTTTATTCCTAAAAGTTTTATGTATAATATTAACAATAACGCGTAATTCAATCTCTACCTCGTATCGCTACGTTTTACAAAAGGACCCAAAATTCGTTACGTAATACTTGAACGCTCCCTTATATATAAATAAAATGCTTCTAATTTATACATTTACTGCCAGTTCTCAAATCAAGAACGTAGAACGGAAGAGAAGAACTGGCAATAAACTCTCCGCCACTCTTTTTAATCGCCATTTTTTTTAACAATATTTGTAGGGAGCTGCAACCGTTATACCATTACAACAGTACTTTATGAACAGATATTGCATGTTATCTTAACCTAAGTTGGGCCTAAAGAATCTTGAGTACAATAATTTCTTGACAAAATTTAAATAGTTTTAAAGTTTAAAGATAATTTTAGTGAGAGACAATAAAATACAGTTGCAGGTTGCTAAGTCCTAATCTAATCTAATCTTCGCTTATTTACAAAGTATTTCATAGGTAATCATTAAAATGATAACGTACAAGAGCTCAACGATTTTAACGAATATCAACATTTAAATTAAATCTATTAAGCCGTTTGGTCAAAATAATGTTTTTTTGTTTTATACAAAAACCATCAAAGTTGTATGTAGTAAAAATACAATGGTTAGTTCCCATTTATAATTTTGACAAGAGACGTTGTCGTTTTGTGTTACGCTGTTATGCGAAAGGAAGGGAAATATCTATCTAGTAGTAGGACCCCGCGCCGCGCCGGCCATCCCCTGCCCTACCAGGGATGCCAGATGTACGATATAAATCGTACTCCTACGATTTTTTGTAATTTTTTCTTATGTACGATCGCCTCACCAAGATCGCACAGAAAATGTACGATTTTCCGGCAAGTACTATGTTCGGGGAATTCCCGAACAACCTACGTATGCCTAGATCTTTTACTTGAATTAAGACCCTTTACACCTGAATACATAATGTGGTGGAAATGAAGAAGTGCGACCTGCGCCAGGTACTCCAAAAAAGAAATTAGCCAAAACAGGAGAGCTTTCCGCAACAGAGAGGAACACACACGGCATAGAAGTATCGTCCCGATTTGGAAAAAATAGGTTTATTAAAGGACTGGTTAGGGCCCGGTAAAAACCAATTTAAAGCCAAGTGCACTGTTTGTGACGTCGAAATGGTTTCAGAATATGGAGTTTTAAAGTTACACTCTTCAAAAGTCAAAATCATTTAATCATATAGGTAACACAATGTACACTTATGAACGTCAAAAAAAAAGAAATGTATATGCAATACTTCTAACTGTACATTTAGTGCCAGTTCTCAAATCAAGGGCGTCGAACGGAAGAGAAGAACTGGCAATAAACTCTCCAAAAGCAGCAAGTCATTTTAAATAAAAACTTTCAACTGTCATGTTGTACGATCTTTTCATTTCAAAATTTCCTTGGAAAACGATTTTTTTGTAGTTGGTGTACGATCATGCTTTTTTCATCTGGCAGCCCTCTGCCCTACTTACCTATTGACCCCTCAGTCGAATTGTCGCTGTGACCGAAACTGGTTATATATTTGTCCAAGCGCAGGTCTCTTATGTATTAATTTTAAGTCTAATGAATAAAGAAGTTTTGATTTGTAAAAACCCAATATGAATCACAAATGATGTGATAATAGTGGTAGTAGCTAAAATAAATAATCTTTCTTTCTTTCATTAGATTTCGAAGATATTGCTTTCAGATTGATTTCCATTGCAACTGCCTTATAAACTAATTTTCTTTAAATTATATTTGGTTCAATAAATAAAATATCTTTTAATCTTACCCTGTTCAGAACCAAGGGAATGGCCAATATAAGTGAACTGTTCCCATCCCAAATGTTGCACTACTAAATCTATGATGGGTACACCAATGAAACGGGAAAGGACCATTCCTACAAATAAAATATAATAAGACAATTTATAGCAAAAAGATTCCTTTAAGTATCATGCCTGATTGCCTTATAAATATAACTAGGCATCATTTAAAGTAGTGTTGGCTTCAGCGTGCGACTCTCATACCTGAGGCCGTAGGTTCGATCCCCGGCTGTGCACCAATGGACTTTCTTTCTATGTGCGCATTTAACATTTGCTCGAACGGTGAAGGAAAACATCGTGAGGAAACGTGTGTCAGGCACTGGAGGCTGATCACCTACTTGCCTATTAGATTTAAAAAATGATCATGAAACAGATTCAGAAATCTGAGGCCAAGACCTAAAAGAGGTTGTAGTACCATTATTTTTGAAACATCATTTGAAAATGTCATAATTTTTTTTGTAGTTGGTTATAAATATTCCAAACTATAGAAAATATTAAATCATAATCAGAAAAAATTGAATAAAATACAGTATTTGTTTAGAGTGGTTAATTGTGAGTCCATTTGAAAATGTACAAAGAGCAAATGAATATTTCTTTCCATGAGGTAATTGTCTTATAACATGAACAAGTATATCCAAATCGAATGTGTCAGACAAACATATACAGGTCAGACACAGATGGCTGATCACCTTCTTGTCTATTAAGAAAGATGGCGAATGAAACGTTTATTTTTCATATTTATTATTATTAACTACTATTATATTATTACAAACGGACCTGCTCCATCTAATTATTTTTAAAATATTTTGGAAATAAATACATGCATGTTACTCCTTAATAATGTATCATTCTAATTGCAAAAGACTTTTTGAAACAGGTCCAGTAGCTTTTAAGTTTACTAATATACAAATAAAGACAGCAGACAACCTTGCACTGTTAACACAATAAAACTCATTACCATACCTTTTGGGAAAGGATCTGACTTGCCATTACCTGGCAAATCAACCAGGACACAATAATACTTTGCAGGTATCAACTTTAGTAGAGGTAGAAATGTTGCTGCACTGTCCAGGCGACCATGAACTAATAATACTGGTTCTCCACTGGTATTGCCACGTGACAGCACTGAAAATTAAAATTTCGTATAAATGTAACCGTTGCAACATTACGTAACCTATAATCAGATATATTTTTGTAAATTTACAGTGGTTTCATATTCCTGTGACTTTATTTGAGGTTTATTTTCTGATTTTGTCTTTAACAGATAAGTCTTATTTGCCACAGCAGAATAAAGGCATTGAATAAGAGAAGTCGTTTAAATAATACCTCTAAGAAGTCTTAAAGGTCCTACGTATTACGTATTTGCCCTATATATTTTCTCATCTTATTCTTTAATAAAAAGTTGACAAACAGAAGTAGCTGATATTTAGTACCTTGTACTTGGTTAGTTGTGCGTAAATAGTTTTTGTTTCACAGCTAATTAAACCCTAGGCTGCCATATCATGCTATATATAAGCGCCAATTTTTAAAGGGGAATACAATATTATAATCAGTTGAGAGGAAATATATTTTACATATAACAAAATTAATTATGTATATCTTAGTACTTGTTAAAAGCATAAAATAATCCATATGCATTGTACATGATAAGACTTCTACAGAATAATGTCTAGTAACAGACATAATAAGATTTAAAGAATAATAGGTACTGCATTATGTTTACTTACATGCAATATTTCCCCATGGTACTTTTAAATTCCACTCTTTCAATTCCATATTAAATACCGTAATTATATTCCAAATTTATACAGTTATTTTACACATTTTAATTGAGTTTGGATACCAGGATACCATAGTAGTTTTTAAATCATGAGGAAAACGTTCAATGTAGTTCTTACAACAGTGAGTAATATATAATTATATATGTAAATGTAATAATGCAACAGACACAATTAGTTTTAAAAAAGCCAAAGATCAAACTACAACTGCTTTATGCCTAAGTACACTAAATTGTTCTGTCATTTTCATACGATCAAGGTCAATTTCAGATAGTAATAGAGTAGGTAATGTTATAAATTTTACTGCATTAAATTTGTTTTTATGAAGTTCATACTTAATTCCAACATAGTTCAAAATCCATCAACCAGTGATCAAAGATCAAAATCCCTGTCACGAATTCCCGCGTAACGCGTTGTTTATTTCATTGATGTCAAATGTCCAATAATATATATTATCAATGTGTCATTCTTGGTCATGCGGGTTCTAGAAGACTAGTGATTACAATTTAATTTTAGTGAATACAAACTTAAATAAATATTATAAATAAAACAATAAAAATACAGCTTTGACCGTGTATTTCGTAAATAATATCTCAATAACAATCGATCTAGAAGCCTTAAATCCATTTCTGTTATAGCGCCATCTGTTAACATATAAATATTATTTTCATGTTTAGATTTCCCGCGGTTTTGGCAATCTTGAAGTAAATTTGGGATAAAATTATTAATATTTTCTTCGATGTACAGGCCTATTTTCATTTTGTCATTTTTTACTTCTTTAAAGTAAGTTGACCTGCAAGAAACAATACATTTAGTACATTATTTACTTTAAATGCATAGACTCGAATTTTTAGCAACCATGCTATTGCCATCTTTATAAAAATCTAGCATCTTGTCCCTGTATATTAAGCTAATATTACGGTTAAAATATCCTACTATTACTGGAATTATTTATCGAGGTGAATAAATATTAAGGTTGACTGATATATATATATAAAAAATACATATTTAACAAAGGAAAATTTGTTAATTTACAATTTTTTAGACAACAATTGGTTTTATTTGTAATCTGTTCTGCCTTGCGATTCTGTAACTCACTTTTCGAACTCACACAGCGGTTTTCGCATCGGCGGTCGCTCTCAAATCAGTCGTGAAGCAGTCATTTCATGATTTGGCATTCTGATAAACAATTAACTACAAGCTCCCACCTTTTCAGAATGCTAAATCATAAAATGACTGCTTCACGACTGATTTGAGAGCGACCGCCGATGCAAAAACCGCTGTGTGAGTTCGAAAAGTGAGTTACAGAATCACAGGGCCTGTGTCATGTTTAAGATAATTGTTAATCACGCGATTTAATCTTTTGCAACAAAATTTTCTTTTCAACGTCGCGAGTGGCGATTAATGAGAAAAATTATATTAAAAGCAGAATATATTTCACCTTTTATTTAAGCATCTATCAAATTTTGACAGCCAACTGTCGAAATCCGTGTACATCTCATCAAAACTCAACTTCTGTGACGCTGTTGTATCTGCAATATAAAGAAAAACATCTTATACACTACATACAGAGCTTCTTAAATTATTGTTTATAAACTTCGATTTTGCCATCAAAACTTTGCTATTACTACGATGTTCATTTATTTTTACATAATTAATATGCCGCGCCAATGAAGTAAAATCAACTAGATTTTGCCTGATTGGTGCGCTGCGTGATCCGTTGTTTTAAGCACAAGTTCCCCCCGCGCTTCCCTTCAACCCTTTCTCTAGTCTGCAGGCACGCGCGAATTTATATTATAGATTAATTTGCCGCGAAAAAATGAGACGTCACGAATCCTCTATAATGCGGATTACGTAGCTATGGTCCAGCTGTATTACGAGTATGAATGTATGTATGTTATATGAATAATAAAATTATTTGAAAAAGGCTAGAAGGTGCTTGTCTGTGTGTTTTGTGCATCAGTTTGTATCTAGGTATTTGTGCTGTGAATTGACGTTTAAAGCGTGACGTTCCATGAAGTTATTGTTGCAAAATTGGGAAAAATTATTTCCCTTTGAGAGCTTCCTTTTGTTTTATTGAAGAGATCTGTAGTCTTGAGATCGATCTCAGGCACACTGTTGGATAGTCTAATAATGATGAAAGTTAAAATACCGGCGGTAGTGGCTTGGCTGAGGGCCTCACTAACTTGAAATCGTTCTTTCGAATCACAGCTATAAATGGAATTTTCTAAGTGCGCACTTAATAAGTACATATGTTACGGTAAAGGAAAACATCGTGACCCTAAATCGGTCTGCCAGACACAAGAGGCTCATCTACTTGCCTGCCTACATAAATCTGAGGCCCAGACCTAAAAACTGCAGCGTCACTGTATTTTTTATAATAGTAGTCTATAGAAATAATTAAGGTATAATATCGCATTGAATGTAAGAATTTTCGATATCGATTAGTTTTGGAGAGAATTCGTTACAAACATGCACATTTTCCCTATTAATCATACTAGTAAAGATCGGACAGAATCAAAGCAGGTGACACCGCAGAACACAGCTAAGCCAATAAATGCAAATTATCTGTTAATCTGTTTTATTTATAATTTATAGCAAGCACTTTAATACCAACCTCGGAACATTCTTTTGTCGGTAATTGAACCCAGTTTATATATATTTAATTAGTCTATAATGTTTACGAATGACAAAGGACACTCAACTGCCATACAGACACAGATTATAGTCGGGATCAAATTTGGGTTGGTCGACTTACTACAAATAATAATAAAGCTTATCAAATAAAACATTGATTTACTTTAAAATCTTCTAATTAGTTATTAAAATATCGTAAAGTAATTTTAGAACTATTTTTATGCCCGCAATTGACAAAGGAAAACATTTTGTCCGAAACACAAAATACGAAATCAAAAATGAAAATACTATAGGAAATTAATTTAAAGTGTATTTTATAACAAAACATACATTTCTCAATGCAAAACAACGCAAAACGCAAACCGTATTTTAAATAAACAAAGCGAATAAAATATTTTAAAAATGGAATCGGTATGTCACCGAGACAACTACAAAAATACGCAATTAAAATTCGAAATTCAAAACATTTTTTAAGGGCAATGACAGTTGACATTCATAGATAACTCACCATCAAAACACAATTCCATTGTGATTTAAAGAAATTATAAACAACAACACACGCCACGGAGATTTTGTAAACACTGATGTGATAGTAACAAACCGCGATGATTGTGCACTAGTGAGGTCATATTGTGCTGAGCGACTTGTCGATAAAATTATTTAAAATAAAAAATTATAAAATGGCCACAGGGACAACTCTTTTAAAATTTATTATAGTTTTCTAGTTATTATTAATTTTATTAATTTATGTTGTTTAGTTTAAGAGAAGAAATAAGACATATTGTCTATGTTTTTTTAATACCTACTTTTTAATTATAAATTTTGAATGTAATTAACTAAATATTTACTGAATTACTATGGGAAGTCCTAAGTTCAATTCCAAACGAAATATTTCGTAGGAATGCATTACATATTACGCTAGATTGGAGAATTAAATTAGAAAGTGAATACTCATTGGCTCTAGATAATCTGTTTAGGTGGGGTGTTACCTAATGTACAATTTATTTCGTACTCCTACAGCGAACATAATTTGTATGTAACAAAAAACAATTATACTATTATACCAAATATGAAAAACTTAATACCTTAATAACTTAGTATGTAATACCTACTTATGGTGTGAAAATTAGGGTATGTACGTAAGGTTTAGCGCTATGGATATTCTACATACTCCTTTTAAGCATATTTATTTATTTTATTTATTTACACTTCGTTGCTAATAATATAAGAAACACAATACATAAAAATTATAAGGGATGCAACGGGCGGCCTTATCGCTAATAAGCGATCTCTTCCAGGCAACCCTAGTTAAGAGAAAAACTAAAAAAAAAGACACATGATGCGTGCGAGAAGTGCAGAATCCTTAATCTAAAGTAATAATAATAGTAATAGTTCCGCGATAGCTTTTATATATATTTAATTTACTAGGAACTTAGCATAGATTTCGTGTATTTTGAGGTTTTTTGCGACCTTTGACAAGAATAATACCTAAACCTTTGTAAGGAACCACTAATTGGTGAAAAATTTATCGCCTTCATACCAGCCAAATGGACTCATAATATGATAATTAACACACAATTAATGTGACGGTACTACTAAGTACCCTCAAATAATTTAAAATTTTAATAATCATGTTCTTTATCCCTCTTAGTATTTAATTTTTTTGTATTCAGTTTCACGCTTTTACAACTCCTTTTCTTTAATTAGGATCCCCTGGAAGAGATCGCTTAATAACGATAAGGCCGCCTGTGGCACCATGTTTTTGTCTGTTTCTTCTGTTTGTTATTCTGCCTCGCGGTCTTTTGCCTTCCACCTTGCCGGCGACAACCAGCTTGTCCAGCGTACTGCTAGACTTTTAAAAATATGGTTAACAGTGTGATATTTTTGGAAAAGATTTTCAGAGAATAATCACTGAATAAATTCAAAGCCCTCGTTAAACGTAAATTAATCAATGAAGCTTTTTATAAATTTAACGAATATTGAAATGATCCTAATCCTTGTGATTGATTTGCTTCAGTTCAAAATATTTGTATGACTCAAAATTTAGCCAGTTCTTCTTGACCGCTCTACGCCCTTGACTCGCAAACTGGTAGTAAATGCAAATTTACAATTAATTTAACTTCTTTTTGACGTTCATAAGTGTACTTGTTTACCTATATGAATAAAGTTATTTTGAGTTTGAGTTTGCGATCCTTGTCCAGAAATTTCTCAAGTCATACAAGTCTCATCAAACTCACTGCGACTTTTATCCCAGAGGTCCTACAGGCCCCTGTAAGGACTTTTTAGGTGCGCATTTAAGGAAAGCGCCGTGAGGCAACCGGCCTTAGACGCAACTATCAATATGTCAGGCTCCGAAGGCTG